AGGCCCAGACGGAGGTGACATGGTACAAGGACGGGAAGAAGCTGAGCTCCAGCTCGAAAGTGCACATGGAGGCCAAGGGCTGCACCAGGCGGCTGGTGGTGCAGCAGGCAGGGAAGACAGACGCCGGGCACTACAGCTGTGAGGCCAGTGGCCAGAAGGTGTCCTTCCGCCTGGGCGTTGCAGGTGGGTGCCTAGTTGAGCATGGAGCTCAGTATCTGAGAAAGCAGTATGGTGGCAGGTATGTGTTGTTCCTGTGCTCGGTTGTCTCTTGACATACCCATCCAGGGCTTCTCCATTGCTGAGACTCTTGGGTCCATCCGTACTCACCTTGGCGTCTAGTCCAGGAGCTTCTCAGCATCTCCTTCCCCACGTTCCTGCCCTTCAATGCCACATCCCCTCTTTCCACAACACAATCCTGCCACTGAGACTTCCTTAGGGATCTGCAGTTCCTGAGGCCTGTGGTCTGTGGAAGTGGCTGTTCTCTGTGTCGGGTCAGTGAGCACATATTTCCTGTTTTAAGGCCCCCTGGGCAGCTGTGGAGCCCAGACGTGCTCTGGTAGTGGATGCCTCACCCACCACCAGCTGTCTGTAGGTCAGCCCTGTGGGCCTGTCCTAATGCTCAGATGCCCATTCAGCCTGGGCCTAGGCTAGGTTGTGTGCTTCCTGTCCCCACACTTCATCAGAGCTGGTGACATTGCTGGCTTCAGTGTCCTCAGGGGGCTTACACTGTCCTTATCCCCAGCTGTAGCTGTCACACACCTGTCCCCACCCTGAAGCCAGAGTGGTCTTTCCCAGTGCTGCCCTTGGTCTGCCTGCACAGGGATCCTCTTGGGCCCCCTCTGGTGCCTTCCCTCTTCCCCTTCTTGGCCTGGGTCTCTGTCCCCGTGCTTGGCTGCTGGAGGCATTTGGGGTGTTCCACACCTCTTAGCCTTTGCTCCAGTGTTCCCCCTAGCTAGACCGTCCTCATCTACTCATCCTCTTGGCCCTGCTCCCCACTGCCTCTTAGGATGCTCGGAGTGAATCTGAACTGTCAGCCCCCCTCTCTCCTTGCAGTATCTGCTCATGGGGTCCCATCTTCTTGAGCAGGGATCTTGGCTCTTAGCTCTTGGTGGGACAGAACCTGTGGCCCCAGGCAGCTCCTCTTGGCCACTGGAAACCCAGATGGTGCCTGGCAGGTGGCCTGTGCTCAGCAGAGAGGCAAGGGCTGGATGGCCTGGGCTCTTGGGGGCAGTAGGAGCTTGGGGTCGCTCCACTTCAGGTCTTCTCCTGTCATGAGGCTTTAGCTGGGGGCAGAGCCCAGATTAGGGGTAGGAGGGCCCCTCTCTCATTCTCAGTGGCTTCCCCCCAGAGCTGGAGCCTGAACCCCCAGCCCTGGAAAGGCGCACTCGTCGGGAGCCTCTGGTTGTCAGGGAACATGAGGACATCGTTCTGATGGCCACACTGGCCACGTCTTCTGTGGCCACAGTGATGTGGCTCAAGGATGGCGTGGAGATTCACCGCAGCAAGCGGCACCAGATGACCAGCCTGGGGGACATGCACACACTCATGGTGTGTGGCGCACAGCCCCTGGACAGTGCCGTGTACAGCTGCCATGTGGGCGCCCAGGGCCAGGACTTCCCAGTGCAGGTGGAAGGTCAGTGGGGTGGAGGCAGAGGGTTCCTCTGGGAATCCCATGTGTGCTGGGGGCATGCATGAGGTGGTGCAGGTGGTGTCCCCACACAGGGCCTGGTGGGTCTGGGGGCACACGACGGTCAGCACAGAGCTCACCCATCGCCGGAGCCCTGCTCAGCTAACACACCCTCCCTTCCCACAGAGGTGGCTGCCAGGTTCTGCCAGCCCTTGGAGCCTGTGAGCGGAGAGCTGGGAGGCACCGTGACGCTCACCTGCGAGCTGAGCCCAGCGCAGGCTGACGTGGTGTGGCGCCATGGGAGCACGCAGCTCAGGGCCGGCAAGCGCTTCCAGATGGTGGCCGCGGGCCCCCTGCGCTCACTCACCGTGTTGGGCCTGCGGCAGGAGGATGCTGGGGAGTATGTGTGCGAGAGCCGTGATGACCACACTAGCACGAGCCTCACAGTCAGCGGTATGCAGCTGGCAGGGTTCTGGAAGAGGTGTGCAGGCTGGGGCCCCCGCCCCTCCTGCCTGCTCTCAAGCGGAGCCTCTGTCCACAGCTCCCCGAGTGGTCAAGTTCATGTCAGGGCTGAGTGCCGCTGTGGCGGAGGAGGGCCAGGATGCCACCTTCCAGTGTGTGGTGACCCCCAGCGATGCAGCAGTCACCTGGTCCCGGGACAGTGCCCTGCTGCAGTCCAGTGAGAAGTTTCTCATCTCGCAGACTGGCGCCAGCCACAGCCTGACCATCTTGGGCCTGACCCTAGAGGACGCTGGCCAGATCACCGCAGAGGCTGAGGGTGTCAGGTCCACCGCTGCTCTCCGGGTCCGAGGTTCGAGAGTGGCATGGCAGGGAGGGCCTCCCCAAGGGCTGCTTCCCGGATGGTATCCTGTTGCTGGCCTGTGTGCAACTTGCTTGGCTGCCCTCGGAGTCACTGGGTTGGTCAGCTGCAGCAAGGAGACTCTGGTGGGCTTAGGGGCAGGGCACCTTCTCTGAAGGGGAGAAAATAACTCCTGTAGTGGACACCTGGGTAATGGTTGAGGCAGTCCAGGGAGGCTTCCTGGAGGAGGCATCCCATGATAAGCCCCATAGATGGCAAGGTGGGAGGGACTGGAGTGGGCAGCCAGTGCAAGGAGAGGCAGGAGGTGGGGACGAGCTTTGCTGGCTGAACCAAGGACTTCACCTGAGGGTAAGTGGCAGCCATTGCAGGTTCTTGAATAAGGGAGTAACATAGGTAGATTCATTTTTGAGGGAGATCATGGTACAGCCTGGGACTGGGAAGCCCACAAGAGTGTGTTTCATGTCCCTTGACAAGCAGGTGTCCTGGCCTTCCTTCAAGGCAGAATGGCTGGTGCAGATGGCATCCACCTGTCTCACCAGTTTTCTGCCTTCAGACCCTGCTGGTCATGGTCACCCTTAGGAGTTCCAGGCACTGGGGTGGGTGGGGTTATTCAGAACAGAGGAGCAGGCGGTGGGAGGAGGACTGGGCAAAGAGCAGCCTCCCCAAACCTAGGTTTCCTTCCATCAAATCCTACCTGGGCAGGTGCACAGCTGGGCCCAAGTCTGGCCAAGGCCATGCCCAGCCTAGAGTCAGACTATGAGTCTGGTGGGGGCAGCTCTACTAGCCGGGGGACAAGGGGCAGGCGGGTGCTCAATGTCCTGGTTTTCCCCAGCGGCAAGGGTCACTGCAATGACCTCCCTTTCCTGTGACCCCAGAGGCACCGGTGCTGTTCAAAAAGAAGCTGGAGCCACAGACAGTGGTGGAGCGAAGCTCAGTAACCATGGAGGTAGTGCTGACACGGCCTTGGCCTGAAGTTAGGTGGACGCGGAATGCAGTGACCCTGGTGCAGGGCGAGAACGTGGAGATCCACGCTGAGACCGTGAGCCACCGCTTGGTTCTCCGCAGTGTGAGTTTCGCAGACCGCGGTTTCTATGGCTGTGAGACACCGGACGACAAGACACAGGCCAAGCTCACAGTGGAAAGTGAGCGGAGGGGCCTCAGTCTGGGGTTGGGCATGGAGCAGGGAGGGTTGGGCCTCTCCTCCAGACACTTGGCTGGCTGCCCCTGGGTCCCCTGGTGAAGCAAGTGGGGGCTGGCTGAGGGCTGGGGTTCTGGCACAGGGATTCACCCAGCCCCTGCCCCTGCGTGCACCTACTTGCTGCAGTGCGCCAGGTCCTCCTCGTGCGGGGCCTGCAGGCGGTGGAGGTCCCGGAGCAGGGCACAGCCACCATGGAGGTGGAGCTGTCACACACCGAAGTGGAGGGAAGCTGGACACGCGACGGCCTGAGACTCCAGCAGGGGCCCACGTGCCAGCTGGAAGTGCATGGCCCCACCCACACCCTCACACTCTCCAGGCTGCAGCCGCAGGATTCTGGCCTCATCGCCTTCAAGGCTGAGGGCGTGCACACATCAGCACGGCTCCTGGTCACTGGTGCGTGAGCGTGGGCGGGACCCACTGCAGAGTGCGCTGCCCCGTCCCAAGGTGGCCCAGGGAGCCTGGCGGGGACAGGATCATGGAATCCCGTGGAGGAGGAGACTAGTTCCTAGAATAAGCTGTGTGATTCTGCCCCGCTCAGGCCCCGCCCCTACCCCTGCCCCGGCACCTCCTGGCACCTCCAGGCCTTCTACTCACCTCTGCCCTCCCGCCTCCACAGAGCTGCCTGTGAGGTTCAGCCGCCCGCTGCAGGATGTGGTGGCCATGGAGAAGGACAAAGTGACCCTGGAGTGTGAGCTGTCGCGCCCCAATGTGGACGTGCACTGGCTGAAGGTACCTCCCACCCCCGGGATGCCCTTGCTCCCCTCAGCCTCTCACCTGGGCAGGCAGGGGTGGGACCTCACCATGGGCAACCCAGGGCCTGACCCAGACTCATTCCTTCTTAGGATGGTGTGGAGCTGAGGGTGGGCAAGACCATGGGCATGGTGGCCCAGGACACTTGCAGGCGTCTCATCATTTACCATTGTGAGCTTGGGGACCAGGGCCTGTATGTGTGTGATGCTCACGATGCTCAGAGCTCAGCCTCCTTGAAGGTTCAAGGTGAGGACTGGACAGGGTATGGGTCAGGGTCTGATGGGTGGCCAGGAGAACCTCCTGCCCCCATGTGACCTGAGCCAGGTGCTTAGCTCCTGGGCTCTGCCCTTGCTGGGTGTCCCTCAGCAAGCTGGGTAGGGAGCAGCTCTGTGCATCCAGGCATGGCAGGGCCTTCCTTTCTGCCCCAGGCCGCAATGTCCAGATCACGAGGCCCCTGGTGGATGTGGAGGTGATGGAGAAGGAGGGTGCCACTTTCTCCTGTGAGGTCTCCCACGACGAGGTGTCTGCTCAGTGGTTCCGGGAGGGCAGTAAGCTTCGGCCCAGTGACAACGTGCGCATACGCCAGGAAGGTGTGGTTTTGGGGGTTCGGCAGGAGGGCATCTCCCCCTCCTGTCCCAGGCCTCCTGCCCCCAGTGCTTAGTGACCTGTGTCCCCAGGAAGGACATACACTCTCATCTACCGGAGGGTCCTGGCAGAAGACGCAGGGGAAATAAAGTTTGTAGCCGAAAGTGCAGAATCGCGAGCTCAGCTCCGAGTGAACGGTGAGGGGCCTCACAGGGTGTGTGTGCACACGCATGTGCACTGGGCCTTACAGGGGCTGACAGGCCAGCTGTCCCAGAACAGGCCTGCGGCTCCCCCTGGCCCCTAACCCAGGAGACCAGCAATGACCCAGGAGGAAGGAAAGAGGGCATCACCTCCTCAGCAGGAGGACAGGCATTCTGAGGGGGCAGCCTTAGGGGTGTGAGGGCTGCGGGGCTCTCCTCCCCTGTTTAAAATAGAGATACCAGTGAATTCTTTCTCCCGGTACTGCAGCAAGTGCTGGAGAGAAGGGGTGTGAGGCCGTGGCAAATGGTGAGTGCTAGCCTGCCCTGGTGGCCAGGGACAAAGTGGACATGCACCACGTGGGAGGGGAGGTCTATGGACTTGCTGGGCAAGGGCGTGGGGGGCTAGGGTTTGCTGGATGTGGGAGTGGGGGTGGGGTAGGGTGTGTGTGTGAGGGCAGGACGGGGTGCGAGGGGCGGGGTGTGAGATGCTTGAATTGGCGCAGTATGGGGGCCAGGGGTGCATACAGCAGAGTCCAGTGTACAAGGGTGCCCACTTTCCTTGTGTGGTTGTACCGAGTGGGTCCCAGCACAGCCAGAGGGTGACTTGGCCTAGCCACCTGTTGGCCACAGTGAATGGATGGCAGTGGTCAGCCCGACTGGTTGGAAGCTGCACAGGCCATTTTCCAGCTCTGGGGCCCCTGGGAGCGCTGAGTGGCACCCTGACCTCACCCTGCTTACCCACAGAACTACCAGTGGCTATCCTGCGTCCGCTGCGGGACAAAATAGCCATGGAGAAGCACCGTGGCGTGCTGGAGTGCCAGATGTCGCGGGCCAGTGCCCAGGTGCGGTGGCTTAAGGGCAGTGTGGAACTGCAGTCAGGGCCCAAGTATGAGATGGTCAGTGATGGCCTCTACCGCAAGCTGGTCATCAACGATGTGCAACCTGATGACGAGGATATGTACACGTGTGACGCCGGCAATGTTAAGACCAGTGCCCACTTCTTTGTGGAAGGTACGGGCAGGGCCTGGGAAGCTCTCCCAGAGGGTGAATCGAGGCCTCTATTGCTTCCCCTGCCTTTTGGCAGGTGGCCCAGTCCAGAATGGGCCTGAATTTGAGCAGGCGTGTGGGGGACGAGGAGCCTGCAGGGGCGAGGCTGGAGGCCCTCCCTTCCGGACCTCGCCAGTGACCCACCCCTCACCCACAGAGCAATCCATCACCATAGTGCGGGGGCTGGAGGACGTGACGGTGATGGAGCCTGCCCCTGCCTGGTTCGAGTGTGAAACCTCCATCCCCTCGGTGCGGCCACCCAAGTGGCTCCTGGGGAAGACGGTGCTACAGGCAGGGGCAGATGTAGGCATGGAGCAGGAGGGCACGGTGCACCGGCTCACACTGCGGCACACCAGATCCACCATGACTGGGCCAGTGCACTTCACCATCGGCAAGTCACGTTCCACCGCCCATCTGGTGGTCTCAGGTGAGCGCGTGCGATCGGCAGAAGGTAGCGGATGGAGGTGAGCCAGTCACGCAGACTGGGCAGGGCGTCCGGGGTTTCTCCATCCGGCCGCCCCGGGCGACGCTGCTCCTCCCCTCCCGCTGCAGACATCCCCATGGTTCTCACGCGTCCGCTGGAGCCCAAGGCGGGGCGCGAGCAGCAGTCCGTGGTCTTGTCCTGTGACTTCAAGCCACCCCCCAAGGCTGTGCAGTGGTACAAGGAGGACATGCCCCTGGCGCCGTCGGACAAGTTCAAGATGAGGATGGAGGGCCATATGGCCGAACTGCGCATTCTGCGCCTCTCGCCTGCCGACGCAGGCATCTACCGATGCCAGGCAGGCAGCGCTCAAAGCAGCGCCCAGGTCACCGTGGAAGGTTCGGCGCTCGGGCGCACAGGGCTGCCTCTAGGAAGGGGCGTGGGGAGGCAGGGGGGCGGGCGCTGAAGCGGCCCTGTTCTCCTGGCAGCGCGCGAGGTGATGGTGATGCAGCCTCCGCGCGACGCCGAGGTCACGGAGGATGGCCGCGCCTGCTTCTCCTGTGAGCTGTCCCACGAGGATGAGGATGTGGAGTGGTCGCTCAATGGCGTGCCTCTGTACAACGACAGCTTCCACGAGATCTCCCACCAGGGCCACTGCCACACGCTGGTGCTGAAGTGCGTGCGGCGGAACGACACCGGCATCGTGCGCGTCTCCTCCCCGAAGGTGTCAGCCACTGCCCGCCTGGAGGTCAAAGGTGAGGCGTCCCTGCGGGGTTGTGAGCTTCTAGCCAGGAAGGGCACTGGGTTCCCCGCAGTGGAGGGGGCTGCTCACTGACTCACCTGCTCAATCCCTACCCCAGCAAAGCCGGTGGTGTTCCTGAAGGCTCTGGACGATGTGTCTGCAGAGGAGCAGGGCACGCTGGCCCTGAAGTGTGAGATCTCGGACCCCCAAGCCCGCGTGGTGTGGCACAAGGACGGTGTGGAGCTTGGCCCTGGCCACAAGTATGACTTCCTGCACACGGCAGGCATGCGCGGATTAGTGGTGCACGACCTGAGCCAGAACGACGCGGGCCTCTACACCTGCAGGGTGGGCTCAGAGGAGACCCGCTCAGTGGTCAGCGTGCACGGTGCGTGGCCCGTCAGGGCGGCTCCGGGCGCGATGCAGGCGCTGAGGGCGGGACGTGGGCTTGGGACCGCCTCCTCTCCGTCCCTCCTGCTTTCCAAGGGCAGGGGCTGCTTTGCTGAGCCTGTAGCGGTCAGCGCAGGCTCGGGGGAGGAGAGAGCTAGATGCCGTCCTGAGGTCCCCAGGTGCAGCAATGGGGTGGGGAGCAAAGCTGTGGACACTTGATAGGGATTCGACAGAGGCTGAAGACGTTCATTCAGCACCAGGGGATCTGTGTAGGCAGGTGCCAGGCCACCAAGGAGGCAGTCAGGGGAGTGTCCTACAGTTAGCAAGTGGCAGAGGCTGAGATGTAAAGTGGGTGATGCTCCGGAAGGGCTCCCAGATCAAACAGTCTCAGCCAGGTGAAGGGCTGTGGGCAGGCCGCACTGCAGTGTGTCCTAGTTAAGACTAGCCATGCTATATGGGTCACCAGCCAGCAGGATGGCATTGGCACTTGCTCCCTTGGACACCAGGTCCCTTCAGATGTCCCTCACAGCCTGAGCCTTGGTCCTCAGCTACAGGGCAGACACCTGACTCCTGTGTGCACAATTCTCCTGGCTGGGAAACTCCATTCCTTTTGTCTCACTGTGTGCACTGCAGGCCTGCAACCTGTCACCCGGTGGTGGGTCCCCGACAGTCTGGCCAGGGTTTGCAATGAAGCAGTAAAGGGGGGCGGGCAGTATGGTGTGTTTGCTCTAGAGCCAGTCACCCTCCACTGGGCCATCTGTCCTTTGTCTTCTGGAACATTTGAGCTGGTGACTGTAGATGGAGCTTGTTCTCTGCATGCTGTTCTGTAGGCTGCAGGAAGGTGGCCACCCTAATGGAACTCACAGCTCTTGGTCATCCAAACATCAGGCTTTGGTCGGCTGGAGGCCAAGGGGGCAATTGCGTAGAGGGGTAGCAGGCCCTCCAGGAGTGGGAGGTGCAGATGTCTCCACCCTGGGGTCTGGCCAGGGGCTGCCGTGAGCTCAATGGTGCCAATCTGGAGGGGCAGGTGCCCACAAGCCCAGCCAGCATGATGACTATCTCCTGTGGCCTGCAGACCTGCATGTGGGCATCACCAAGAGACTGAGGACAGTGGAGGTGCTGGAGGGCCAGAGCTGCAGCTTCGAATGCATCCTGTCCCATGAGAGCACAGGCAATGTGGCCATGTGGACAATGAGCGGGAAGCCAGTGGGCAGTTCTGGCCGCTTCTGGGCCACATGTCAGGGCCGCAAGTACATGCTGGCTGTCCAGGAAGCCCTGCCAAGTGACGCTGGTGAGGTGGTCTTCTCTGTGGGGAACCTCACCTCCAAGGCCTCGCTCATCGTCAAAGGTGAGCCCTGCAGGCTGGGGTGGGAGGGGCTGTGTCCACAGTGGGGGTGCTGAGCTTGGACCCTTCCCCTGGTGGCCTGTAGTGGGGCCCTAGGGCTGGGAAGCCACCAGGGTGTGCTTCTGGGCCCTGTGTCCCCAGCCCCTGGCGAGAACCTCTACTGGCAGGTTGGAGTCATCTGCGAGGGTTACTCTCTAGGGCAAGATCATCTGGTATCTGGGTAGGAGCAGGGTCTTTGATCCATGGTCTGATTGCCATGGTAGCTCCCCAGGCGTGGGGCCCACGAGCCAGGGAAATCACATCAGTGTCTCTGAGCTCCCCCTTCTGGCATACATACTGGTGTGGATGGCTAACACTCAGCTCCCAGCTGACTCTGGCCTGGCTGCACTCTGAGTCTTCAGGGCTCGTGCTGAGAGTCTGACTGTGGTCTCCTTCCCTGTCCCGGGCCCCTCCCATCAGGACCACGGGGGCTCCCAGCAATCCAGGGCTCTGAATTTCTGGCAATAGCTGCCCTGCCCTAAGGGTGCACCCAGGGCCATGGCCTTGCCTCATGGGCAGCCGCTTCTGCTTCCCTCAGAGAGGCCCACGGATATCACCAAGCCACTGGAGGACCAGCGGGTCACGCTGGGCGAGGATGTGGTGCTGAGCTGCGAGCTGTCACGGGCTGGCGCCCCAGTGCGCTGGCTTAAGGACGGGAAGGCTATCCGCAAGAGTCAGAAGTACGAGCTGCTCACTGAAGGCTCCCGGGCCGTGTTGGTTGTCCGAGCAGCCTCCCTCAAGGATTCGGGCAGGTACACATGTGAGGCGGAGGTGTCCAGCAGCACAGCCAGCCTCCATGTGGAAGGTAACCCCAGGGGAAGCCTGGGGATGGGCCCACAGAGGGCCCAGCTGGGAAAGGGCTGGCCGGTCCCTGACTGGGGGCTGACGTACCGTCTGTGTAGGCCTCACCCTGCCCCATCTTGCCCTCTCACCAGAAAAGGCAAACCGGTTTACCCAGGAGCTGGTCGATCTACAGGTGGAGGAGAAAGGCACGGCTGTGTTTGTGTGCCAGACGGAGCAGCCGGCAGCCACGGTGACCTGGCGAAAGGGCCTCATGGAGCTGAAGGCCTCAGGGAAACACATGCCCAGCCAGGAGGGTCTGACCTTGAGGCTTACTGTCCATGCCCTGGAGAGGGCAGACAGCGATGTCTACACCTGTGACATCGGCCAGACTTCGACCCAGGCCCGGCTCCTGGTGCAAGGTGAGGCCCAGCCCATGGGCCCCTGCTTGGTGGGGCACAAGCTGTGTTAAAGGAGGCTGGGAGGTGGTGGGAGATCAGCCCTCTGCCTGGCCTTGGACAAACCCAGCCTCAGTTTCCCCATCTCTGGGGGGTTGCCCTGAGTGCTCTTGTCTCTGAGGCCCTCCCGGCTGGACCCTGGGCAGCTCTGGTTTGCCTGGTGCAGGTTTCCAGAGCCCCTCCTCTATGCGAGAACATAGGGCCTTGCACACAGGGTGTATCACCTTTGCCCCAAGGCAGTAGAAGGCCCAGGAAGGCCACTGGGGTGAGCAGCATGTGTGCCTGGCAGGCAGTGGTTGGGCCTTGGGGGGTAACATTCTCCTCACCCCATGGATGAGGGAACAGGGCTTGCTTGGGGTTAGTGGCCAGCCCAGGGTTGTAGGGCATGTTGAGCTGGCCAGCCTGAACCTAGGGTCATTGTCCAGGATAGGGTTCTCTGGGGTCTGTCCATGGGAAACAGCAAAACAAGAGCAAGGAAGCCTCACTCTGGCCTTTCCTTGCCTTTTCCACAAAATCTAGTGAATCCAACAAGTGTGCTGGAACTGTTTTGTTAGCCTGGTGGAAGCCCAGCTACCAAAGTTGATGCTTCATCCAAAACAGTTAACATGAGCCTTGTTTGGTAACAAAGTGTTTAAAAAAACCTTAGGGCGTGCAAACAGACGTGGCCAGGCTGGTGGTGTGGCCAGAGCCTTTCCTCTGGGCATTGGTCTGTGACCCAGAATCCCTCACCTGCTGTACATGCTTCGCCTCCCCACTTACTATCTTTACATTCCTCTGTCCCACAGCCCCAGACCCCTGCGTGCGCGGGAGGAACCTAGAGGCAGAATGCAGTTCACACTGTCAGTACCCCAGAGTGTTGACTTACATTTGAGCACAGCGGTGATATTCCTATCCATTCAGTTAACCCATGACAACGTAGTTGCATATTACATGGCCTCAGGGACTTGCACAACTGGCATCAATGGGTTTGGGGCAGTATGATGAGAGGGGTCCCACCATGGGCCATGTGGTATGGATGGCAGAAGGATCCTATAATGGTGTGGGCTCAGCGGTCCACCTGAATCAAGTACTTTGGGGCAGCTCAGCTCTGACCCACTCAGTCTCCTGAGTTTCATTGTTCTGAGCCCATCAAAGGTCGCTTGTTCCCTGGATGAGCCCCCGACCCCCACCCCATTCCCCTTAGCAGCTGGCCAGGGTGGGGGCACCCTGATGTGGCTTGTGCCCCCGCAGGCCGGAGCGTGCTTATCACAGAGGGCCTGGAGGATGTGGAGGTGCGGGAGGGCTCCTCCGCCACCTTCTGCTGCCGCATCTCACCCACTGACTACGGGCCAGTCCACTGGTTTCTGGATGAGAAACCCCTGCATACCAACGAGCTCAGCGAGATCAAGGCCCAGCCAGGCGGCTACCACGTGCTGACCCTGCGGCAGCTTGCGCTCAAGGACTCAGGCACCGTCTGCTTTGAGGCGGGTGACCAGCGGGCCTCAGCCACCTTGCAGGTCACAGGTGGGCTGCCTGCCCAGCACTGTGGCTGAGGGCAGAGGCTCGGCCACACACCAAGCATGGTCCTGGTGGTATGTGACAGGGACCACAGACAAGGCTCAGTGGGCTGGGCCCTCAGGTCCAGGGAGGTGGGCTCAGGAGGCTGAGAAGGGCTGTTTTAGGATGCATAGCTGCATGTGCTACACATGGCCAGTGTGGCGTGCCCTGGACCATGCCTCTCAGTGTGAGGAGCCATGTTGAGCCTGCTCTGTTCCCCTGGTGGCCCTTTCTGCAGCCCCAGCCTTGGGGGGCAGGTGCGCACTCACTGGGGCATTGTCTGGTCTACAGCAAGACCTGGGACTTCTCCTGAAGGAGCCCCCAAGCAGCCTCTCTGTTCCCCAGAAAAGCCAAGTGCCTTCTCCCGGGAGCTCACTGACACCACAGTCATGGAGGGTGAGGACCTGACCCTGGTCTGTGAGACCGCTGTCCCAGATAGCCCTGTGAGCTGGACCAAGGACGGGAAGGCCCTGCGGCCATCAGCCCGGTGCCAACTGAGCCAGGAGGGACACCGGGCCCAGCTGGTCATCTCAGGCACCACCCTGCAGGATGGCGGGCGTTACAAGTGCGAGGCTGGGGGTGCCTGGAGCAGCTCCATCGTCAGGGTCCACGGTAAGCCCCCCAGGCCACACTGAGGCCTCCCAGAGCAGGGCCCAGGGGCACTCAGGCTCCTCCTGTCTCTGTCTCTGGCCACAGAGCCGGGAGGTCTGTGCCTCTCTGCCCAGCTGGGCAGTTAGCCTATCTTGGACCTCCCATCTCCTGGCCTTGCTGCTCTGACACAGTCCCCTGCGCCCTCCCCGAGCCTCCTGACTGTCGTCATCACCTCGCTTCATTCCTGACTTTGCCCCGCTTCCTGATGTCTCTGTTCTCCCTGCTCCTGGCTCGGCTCATCTCCATCCGTCTTGGTTGTCTCGGATTGCGTGACAGTTGCCACGGGGAGGAAGCTCAAACATCTGTTCTCCCTGTCCTGGAGGCTGGAGGCCAAGATCAGGGGCCGGCATGGCTGGTTCTTTCTGAAGCCTCTCTCCTGGGCGTGTAGTTCCACCTTCTCCCTGTGTCCCCAAATCGCTGTTTCTCTGCCTATGTCTGTGTCCTGATCTCTTATGTGTACCCCAGTCCCACGGGATCAGGGCCACCCTGGTGACCTCACTGCACCTCAGTCAACTCTGTAAAGGCCCATCTCCAAACACAGCCCCTCTCTGAGGTCTGGGGGTGAGGAGCCTATCGTGGATTTGGGGCACATGGTCAGCCCATAACACCCCGCCGTTCTCTGTTCCCTGCTGTTTGGCTTCCCCTCCTGGAGGGGCAGAGACTTTGGGTCACTGTCACCAGCCCCTGATGAGAAAGGGGTGAGGTGGGTCTGCCTGCTTCTCCAGCTCTGGCTCCCCAGCTGTCCCCAGCCTTGGGAGGACCTCTGGTGGGACACAGGGGGCAAGGACTAGGCTGAGCCTGTCCTGCCTGCAGCTCAGCCTGTGTACTTCCGGGAGGGGCTGAAGGACCTGGAGGTGGTGGAGAGCGGTGCTGCCACACTGCGCTGTGCACTGTCATCCGTGGCTGCGCCTGTGGAGTGGCACCGTGGAGATGAGGTTCTACGGCCTGGGGGCAAGTACAGCCTGCGGCAGGAGGGCGCTGTGCTGGAGCTGGTGGTCCGGGACCTACAGCCACAGGACAGTGGGCAGTACTCTTGCCAGTTCAAGGACCAGATGACCTCAGCCATGCTCACCGTGAAGGGTGCGAATACTCTCTTGTCCTGCCCATGTGGCTCCTCCCAGCCTCCATGGAGGGGTGAGTGTGACATTCTGTGTCCATCTACCACCTCCAGGACTGCCTGTCACGTTCATAGGAAGACTGAGAAACAAGGAGGCCATGGAAGGGGCCACAGCCATGCTGCACTGTGAGCTGAGCAAGGCAGCCCCCGTGGAGTGGAGGAAGGGGCCCGAGACCCTCAGAGCTGGGGACAGAGTCATCCTGAGGCAGGACAGGGCCATGTGTGAGCTGGAGATCCGTGGCCTGGCCATGGCAGATGCCGGGGAGTACTCATGTGTGTGTGGGCAGGAGAGGACATCGGCCACGCTGACCATCAGGGGTAAAGCCCACGTGTGGCCATGTGGACCTGTGGGTGTCTGCACATTGTTGCTGTGTCACTACCTTCTCCCTGTAGGGCCTCTGGGGGTGGTGTCTATCCAGCTGGGGTTCTCCAGGTTCTCCTGGACCCTGGCCTCTCTGGTCCAGTACATGTCCTGATGTTCATGTCCAATCCTGTGTGTCCACTGTTTCTCCTGGTCCACTAGCCACCCTCACCATCGGTGTGGTTGTTCACTGATTCCTGCTGTGGCTCTTCACAGTTTGTGTGGTCCTTGTGGGCATCCCTGTTCTGGACACAGAGTCCCCCTGACCATCTGATGTTCTCCCTGGCTCCTTGGCCTGCCAGCCACAAGTTCACAAAAGGTCTAAAGAATAGGAGGCCATGGAAGGGGCCATGGCCACATGCATTGAGGCAGGGCCACAATCCATAGTGTGTACCCATAGCGTGTACTTGGCACACGCAGCATGTGGCCTGTGTGCAGTCTGAATTCGTGTCTCCTGTGTGCTGTCCGTGTCCTGTCTCTTCAGTGGGTTCAGAGAATGTGACTGTATCTGTACCTTTCTGCCTCCCCAGCCCTCCCTGCCAAGTTCACAAAGGGCCTAAAGAATGAGGAGGCCACAGAAGGGGCCACGGCCAAGCTGAGCTGTGAGCTGAGCAAGGTGGCCCCCGTGGAGTGGAGGAAGGGGCCCGAGACCCTCAGAGCTGGGGACAGAGTCATCCTGAGGCAGGATCGGGCCTTGTGTGAGCTGGAGATCCATGGCCTGGCCATGGCAGATGCCGGGGAGTACTCGTGTGTGTGCGGGCAGGAGAGGACGTCGGCCACGCTGACCATCAGGGGTAAAGAACACATGTGGCCACCGGGAGCTGTGGGTCCTATCCAAGGGCTGTGTCACATCCTCTAACGCAGCCACCATCTGTTACAATCTTCCCACTTCTCTGTGTGTCTCCTGCTCCTGAAGTCAGATTCTCAGTGCAGCTTATGTGGGTCAGTGAGCAGAGAACATGGCCCTCCATGCCCTCGGGGGTCACATCCGGGAGAGGAGCAAGCCCTCCCGGGACAGTGGACTGGGGTCCTCTGGGGGCTGTGCCAGGGAGAGACTAGGAGATTGGAGCCTGGTGCTGAGACAGGAATGCCAGGAGGGGGCTGGAGGGGGAAGGCCTGGGGCGGGTCCTAGGACAGCCCGTGAGGTGAGGTCTGGGTGTGGATAGGCTAGGGAGGAGAGTCCAGGTGGCTGTGTTGAGGACCAAAGCCAGGAAGGCAGCAGGTGTCCACACCCGGTGGGGGTTCACATCTGGGGTCCATGGTGATGGGCTGGTTCTGGGCAGCAACTGCAGGTGGAGATGTTGGGCATGGCATGGTGGCTGGGCTGGGCCCTGGGCCATGGGACTCAGGCAGGGCCTGGTTGTGCACAGGAGGGCTGGCCCGGGGTAGGGCTGACAGCCGTGTCCTGTGTGGGGCAGTCAGTGCGCAGGTGGGTTCCCTGGGGGACAGGTGGGGTCCCCTTGCATTGGATTGGCCACCATGGGGCATCCTGCCCTCTGACCCTGGGTTCCCTGCTCCCTGTGCTGTGGGCTTGGTGTCTGGCCCATTCCTTGTCTGTATGCTCCAGGATATAGTCTGTGTGTCTGTCTGAGCCTCCAACCCTGACCACACAATCCACAAAAGTTATGAGGCCTGGGCAGGCCGCAAGAGGGGCCGTCACGCTGTGGGCTGAGCAGCCCCTGTGTAGTGGGAGGGGCCTGATCCTGGTGGGGACTCGGGGCAGGGTGTGGCTATGTGGCTGGAAGCCCAGGGATAGATGAGCTCCCGGGGCTGGGGGCTGGGTCCTTGGGGCCCTGGACACAGGGTCTGCAGGTGGGCGTGGTTGCTTCCTGCAGGGAAAGGTGATGGGGAGAGGCTGGATGAGACTGCCCATAGGTCCAGGAGAGTCCCAGAGCACACGGGCCCCACTGCTCCTGTTCTGGGGGGTCCCAGCCCACAAGTCAAGGTGGACAGTAAGGAAGGGGGTTCTGGGGACTGGGCACATATGTGTCCGCACCTCTGGAGAGAGGCCAGGCCCTCATGTCGCCTTGAGCTGTGCCTCCTTGCGATGGAGAAATGTCCACAGCACAGAGGCACCAGGTGCTCCTGCTGGTCAGACCCACCAGCAGCCATGCAGGGTGTGGGGCCCATCACATGAGCCAAGCCACCTTCCTCCCCAGGAGGTGCCATCAGTGGCCGAGGATAGAGCAGCCACATTGGCCGGTGGCAGGCAGACTGAGAGCTGTGCTGTGGAAGTCTGTGGGTGCCAGGACACCTCCAGGACCCTCCTGCAGGGTGTCCTTGCCCGGTCAGCCCCAGTCAGTCCAAGCTGTGGCCTCAGGAGCAGCAGGGGGAACAAGAAGTGAGTGCGGTCCAAGCTCGTGGCGTGGTAGGCAGCCTCTTCCATGCCTCCTGTCCCAGCCAGAGAAATTCCTGGTACAGGCACCATGCAGGGGGCCACAGCTGCAGTGTGGTGGGAGTGGGGAGCCTGGCATCTATGGAATAGGTGGAGGACCAGGCCCTCAACTCTGGCCTGAGCTGCAGTCGGAGGCGTGATGGGCCATGGGAGATGTGGAGGGGACATACCTCCAGGCTCTGTGTCTATCCATCCCAGGGGAACTAGGCAGTTCCCAGGTGTCCATTCTCATCCTGAGGTCCTCGCCGAGGACCCCAGCTCCTGTGTGTTCTTCATGGCCAGATGGATGTGCTCAGCTCAGGGTGTCCCCTGCCTGCATGGTGCTGCTACCCACAAATGTGTCCCATATCCACATGTTAATCCTCACGTGTCCAGAGTATGTTTCATAGTCAAGTGTCCATGTCCTGAGCTGCCAGTTCTCTAGTCTGATCTTCTCTGTGTCACCCTGGCCCTCCCCAGCCCTGCCTGCCAAATTCACAAGGGATCTGAAGAATGCAGAGGCCACCGAAAGGGCCACAGCCATGCTGCACTGTGAGCTGAGCAAGGCGGCCCCCGTGGAGTGGAGGAAGGGGCCCGAGACCCTCAGAGCCGGGGACAGAGTCATCCTGAGGCAGGATGGGGCCATGTGTGAGCTGGAGATCTGTGATCTGGCCATGGCAGATGCTGGGGAGTACTCATGTGTGTGTGGGCAGGAGAGGACGTCGGCCATGCTGACTGTCAGGGGTAAAGATCACGTGTGGCCATGTGGACCTGTGCGTTGGTGTCTGCATATTGTCCCCATGTAACCACCTATCCCCTGTAGGCTCTGGTCATCTGTGTCTCTCCACCTGAGGTACCCTGGGCCTCCCCCTGTCCTATCTCCTTGTCCAGTAGATGTCTTGATGTTTGTGTCCGGTCCTTTGTGTCTACTCTTCCTCCTAGACTATTAGCTTCCCTTACCATCTGTGTTTATTCATTTGTTCACGCTGTGGCCCTGCTGTCTGTGTGGTCCTTGTGGACGTCCCCATCTTAGACACAGACAGACCCCAGAGAGTCTCATGTTCTGTGACCCTAACCCTCCCCAGCCCTACTCACTAAGTTCACAAAGGGCCTGAGGAGGAGGCCACAGAAGGGGCCATGGCCACACTGCACTGTGAGCTGAGCAAGGCGGCCCCCGTGGAGTGGAAGAAGAGGCCTGAGACCCTCAGAGCCAGGGGCAGAGTCATCCTAAGGCAGGATGGGGGCGTGTGTGAGCTGGAGATCTGTGGCCTGGCCACAGCAGATGCCAGGGAGTACTAATGTGTGTGGGCAGAAGAGGACATCAGCCACACTGACCGTCAGTGGTAAAGAACACATGTGGCCACAGGAAGCCGTGGGTGTCTGCACATTGTTGCTGTGTCACCACCTTCTCCCTGTAGGGCCTCTGGGGTCCTCTGGGGTGTGTGTCTCTCCAGCTGGGGTTCTCCAGGTTCTCCTGGCCCCTGGCCTCTGGTCCAGTACATGTCCTGATGTTCATGTCCAGTCCTGCGTGTCCACTGTTTCTCCTGGTCCACTAGCCACCCTCCCCATAGGTGTGGTTGTTCGCTGATTCCCGCTGTGACCCTTCACAGTTTGTGTGGTCCTTGCAGGCATCCCTGTCCTGGACACAGAGTCCCCCTGACCATCTGATGTTCTCCCTGACTCCTTGACCTGCCAGCCACAAGTTCACAAAAGGTCTAAAGAATAGGAGGCCATGGAAGGGGCCACAATCCACAGTGCATACCTAGCACAGCTATCATGTTGCCTATGTCCAGTTGGGTTTTGTGTGTCCTCTTTGTTGTCCCTATCCTGTCTCATCTGTGGTCTCAGAGAGTATGACTGTGTCCATATCTTCCTGATCCATCAGCCTTGCCAGCCATGTTCACAAAGGGCCTAAGGAAGAAGGAGGCCACAGAAGGATCCACGGCTATACTGTGCTGTGAGCTGAGCAAGACGGCCCCCGTGGAGTGGAGGAAGGGGCCCGAGACCCTCAGAGCCGGGGACAGAGTCATCCTGAGGCAGGACGGGGCCATGTGTGAGCTGGAGATCCATGGCCTGGCCATGGAAGATGCCGGGGAGTACTCATGTGTGTGTGGGCAGGAGAGGACATCAGCCACGCTGACCATCAGGGGTAAAGATCACGTGTAGCCCAGCAGAGCAGGGTCTTGGTGTCCAGTCTTTGACGTCATGACATCCTCTGAGACGATCCTTGTTCCCCTGTCCTGGTGCCGCCCTCTCATATTTCCATGAAATCCCTTCCACCTTCCTGGGCTGTTAAGTGAACCATTAGAAACCAGCACCTAAGCCACTTCCCACCACTTAGTCACCACTAGTTTGTCTTGTCTTGTGGGAGTCTGTGGTTTCCTCTGTCCTGCTGTGTCCTGTGCCCTGGAAGCCTGATGTTTTGTGTCACCTTGCCCATCGCCAAACCTACTGCCAGATTCATACAAAGTGCAAGGCCTGAGGAGGCCACGGGAGTGACCACAGCCACACTGTGCCAGGCTGGGCCAAGGGAAAGCCCCCATGCTATGGCCCTGCCAACTGTGTGTGTACTTGGCACACCCAGCACGTGGCCTGTGTTCTGTGTCTGTGTCTGGTTCTGTGTCCTGTCTTATCCATGGGTTCAGAGAGTGTGACTGTGTCTGCTTTCTGCCACCCCAGCCCTGCCTACCAAGTTCACAAAGGGCCTAAAGAATGAGGAGGCCACGGAAGGGGCCACGGCCACACTGCACTGTGAGCTGAGCAAGGCGGCCCTCGTGGAGTGGAGGAAGGGGCCCGAGACCCTCAGAGCCGGGGACAGAGTCATCCTGAGGCAGGATGGGGCCGTGTGTGAGCTGGAGATCCGTGGCCTGGCCGCGGCAGATGCCGGGGAGTACTCGTGTGTGTGCGGGCAGGAGAGGACGTCGGCCACGCTGACTGTTGCAGGTAAAGACCATGTGTGGCCATGTGGACCTGTGATTGGTGTCTGCACATTGTTGCCGTTTTACCACCTTCTCCCTGTAGGATCCGTGGATATCTGTGTCTCTCCAGCTGGGTTCTCAGGGTTCCCTGGATCCTGATCCCTTGTCCAGTAGGTGTCCTGATGTTCGTGTCCTGTCCTGCACATCTGTTGTTCCTCCTGGGCCATTAGCCGCCCTCACCATCTGTGTGTTTGTTCACTGATTCGTGCCATGGCTTTTTGCAGTTGTGTGGTCCTTATGGGTGTCCAGTCTGGACAGAGTCCCCCAGAAAATCTGATCTTGTGTGTCACCCTGGCCCTCCCCAGCCCTGCCTGCCACGTTCACAAAGGATCTGAAAAATGAAGAGGCCATGGAAGGGGCCACAGCCACGCTGCACTGTGAGCTGAGCAAGGTGGCCCCCGTGGAGTGGAGGTCAGGGCCCGAGACCCTCAGAGCTGGGGACAGAGTCATCCTGAGGCAGGACGGGACCGTGTGTGAGCTGGAGATCCGTGGCCTGGCCATGGCAGATGCCAGGGAGTACTCGTGTGTGTGCGGGCAGGAGAGGACATCGGCCATGCTGACCATCAGGGGTAAAGCCCACATGCAGCCATGCAGACTGGTTGGGTGCCTGTCCTCATCTCCATGTCTGTCCCTGGCTCCCCCTGGGTGCCTTCCCTCTGTGCCCTGTCTGCTGCCTGTCACTGCATTGTCCACATCTTGGTGTCTGAGTACTGATGCATCCTAATGACCTCATGTGGCTTGTGGTAGGGACAGAGTTTTCACCTTGCATTTCCCTTTCATCCTAATGCACCCATCTTTTCCACTCTCACTGGGGTGGCTTGTTGTCAGGTGCAGGCCCTGGGGCTGACCCTGTCCCCTGTGTCTACCCTGGTGCTGACCCTCTTTCCCCTCTGCCCACCTGCCTTGGGGCTGGCCCTGTCTCCTCTGCCCTCCCAACTGGGCCTGACCCTGCCTCCCCTCCCCTCTGACCCTGTGACCCCTGCCTGGCAGCCCCACAGGTGGTGTTCCAGGAGCCCCTGCAGAGCCTGCAAGCTGAGGAGGGCACGTCAGCCACCCTGCGGTGCAAGCTGTCCCAGCCCAGCCCCGTAGTCTGGAGCAAGGGTGGCCTGGAGCTGCAGGCCGACGGGCACCAGGAAGCACGGCAGCGGGGCTCCACGGCGGAGCTGGTGCTGCGGGACCTGCGCAGGGAGGACACGGGCGAGTACACCTGTGCCTGTGGCTCCCAGACCACCAGCGCCACTCTCACCGTCACAGGTGCGATCCAGGCCCCCCATGCTGTGGGCTATGGCCCCACCCTGGGACCACCATCTGAGGGGACAGGGGCTCAAGGGGCAGACGACCCAGTGTGAGGCTCAGCTCCCACTGTCTAACCTGCAGCCGCACCCCTGGGTTGGGGATGGGGGGCCACGTCGCTGCTCCTCTGTGGCCCTGCCTCCCCCTCACTGTGTCCCAGGCAGCTGCCCTGGCAGTGGGCCTCATGCTGTCAGCCCCAACATATGCACCCACCGTGTCTTTGACATGCGGGCTTTACCCCTGACAGTCTCCCTTCCCTATAGCTGCACCGCTGCGGTCCTTCCACCTTTCATAGCTGCGCCCCTATGGTCCCCACCACCCTGGTAGTCCCCATAGCTGCACCCCTTTCACCCTTGTCCCTCCCAATCCCCATGCTCTTTGCCCCAGCAGCTGTGCCCTGTGGTGCTCCCCTCCCTCCACCATGCCCCCCCACCATACCTGCACCCCTGCAGTCCTACCCATCCCCACCCTGGTCCCTCACAGCTGGGCCCTTGAGGTCTCCCCTGTTCATCCTCATAGCTGCACGGGTGCTTGCCCTCACCCTCTCCACCCCGTAGCTGTGCCTCTGCAGTTCCACCCCACCCCATAGCTGCACCCCTGTAGTCCTCCCCCACCACTCTCGTAGCTGCACCTGCAGCTACCCTCATACTACCCCACAGCTGCACCTGTGAGGTTCCTCCATGAGCTTCAGGCCCAGGAGGTCGAGGAGGGCATAACAGCACATCTGCGCTGTGAGCTGAGCCGGGCAGGTGCCAACGTGGAGTGGCGCAAGGGCTCCCTGCAGCTCTTCCCATGCGCCAAGTACCAGATAGTGCAGGAGGGCACCACCGCAGAGCTGCTGGTGCACAGCGTTGAGCAGGAAGACACAGGCCTCTACACCTGTGACACAGGTCATGCGCAGAGCTCAGCCATCCTTTCAGTCCATGGTGCGTGCCCACGGGCCCCTGCCCTGCCTGCACCCCCCAGCCGCTGCAACTGTGCAGCACTAAGCACTCTTCCTGCCCCCCCAGCCCCCAGGCCCGCGTTCCAGATGGAACTGGAGAGCACGGAGCAGGAGGCTGGTGGCCTGGCCCGGCTGTACTGCCAGCTGAGCAAGGCAGAGCCCGGGGTCCCCGTGCAGTGGCTCAAAGAGGGTATAGAGCTACACGCAAGCCCCAAGTATGAGATGCGGCACCAGGGGGCCACCTGTGAGCTGCTCATCCACGGGCTGGAGGCCAAGGACACGGGCGAGTACTCGTGTGTGGTGGATGGCCAGAGAACCTTGGCCTCCGTCAAGGTCAAAGGTGAGCCCAGGCCCTTTAGCCCTACCCAGGGGGCACACCTGGTCAGGCACTGTTCCAGGCTGGTGCTAAGACCCCTGGGGTTACAAGCTCTCTTTCCTCGTTTCTGCTCACCCCTGGCTCATGTACCCCTAGAGCAGGGTTGACAATGGGGAAACTGAGGCTGTGGGTCCTGACTGCTGCCCTGCCTCTCGCCCCCAGCTGGTAGCTAGGGAGCCTGGCCCTCTCTGAGCCTCTGTCCTGAAGGTCTTGCCTCCCTGGTGTCCCAGCCAGGGCACAGCAGGCCTCAGGGTGGGGGAGGACACAGGCAGCCCACCACCCACAACCCTTCACCTGCTCCCTCCAAACACACACCCCAGCCCAGTCTCTACCCCCAGAAGCTCAGTGTCATATGAGGCCATGTTTGTTGATGAATGGCCTGTGGGCCAGACTGAGTCTGTGGCAGATGTGTGAGGGTGTTCTAGAAGGCTTCCTGGAGGAAGGGACATGGGAGCTCAGCCAGGTGCTCTGGACTGGCTGGTAAAGGTCCCCTCCCTGTACCCCAGAGCCTGAGGTGACCATCGTGCGGGGGCTGGTGGACACTGAGGTGCAGGCTGATGGGGAGGCAGAGTTCAGCTGCGAGCTGTCACAAGCTGGTGTCACGGATGTGGAGTGGCACCTTCAGGGCCTACGGCTGCAGAGCAATGAGGTGACAGAGGTGACCATGCAGGGTGACCACACCCACATGCTGCGCCTGAAGTGTGTGACGCCTGAGGATGCAGGCACCGTCTCCTTCCACGTGGGCCCCCACAGGTCCTCTGCCCAGCTCACTGTCCGAGGTAGAGGGCACCAGGCATGCCTCCCTGCCCACCACGCTCGGGATTGGGGGTCCAGGCTCTGTCAGGGGACCACAAGGAGCTCTACCTTTGGGGGTGGGGAACTGTCAGGAGGTGGACCCCCGAACAGGCTGTCTGGGCATGGTGTCAGGGCTGACTGGTGTCCCCTGTGTGCATCTTCAGGTATTGGGATGGGGGCATAGGGGGTAGCCACCCAGGGTGGGATGCTGCTCCCGATGGTCCCGAGGCTGACCAGCCATCCCCCTGCTGCCTTACAGTCCCAGAGGTCACCATCCTGGAGCCCCTGAAGGACGTGCAGCTCAGTGAGGGCCAGGACGCCCACTTCCGGTGCCGGCTGTCCAGGGCCTCGGGCCAGGAGGCCCGCTGGGCCCTGGGAGGGGTGCCCTTGCAGGCCAACGAGATGAACAATATCACAGTGGAGCAGGGCATGCTCCACTTGCTCACCCTGCACAAGGTGGGTTCTGGGGCCAGCCTCTGCCCATCACCCTCCTGGGGCACTGGGGGAGGTCCCACTCCAGTCAGACTGTGCTGCGGTCATGGGAGCAGAGGTGGGCAGGATGGGGCTCTGGCCTGAGGCCGCTATCTCTCTTCCTTAGGTGACCCTCGAGGATGCAGGAACTGTTAGTTTCCAGGTGGGCTCGTGTTTTTCTGAGGCCCAGCTGAAGGTTGTCTCAGGTGAGCAGCCTCCTCTCACCCCTGGCCCCCAGCTCCTGGGTGTCTGTTTCTCTACTTGGGTGGTGTGGCCAGAAACCTGAGCCTTCTGGTAGTGGTCTTATCTTGGGGAGGCAATTTTCCACCTGCTGATTGCGAGAGGACTGACCAGGGAGTCCACTAAGATGGGCTGGTGAGGATGGGCTTGAGAAATTCTGGTGTGTGGGGTCCCTGTGTGCTGTCTGCACGAGGTACCACTGGGCGCAGCATCCCCATCTGGGGGGCTGCCCCCACCCCAATACCTGGCTGCTCTGGGCCTGGGCCCTTAGGCAGAGAGGCAGGGCCTATTTCCACTTCGTGGTGACTCCTATGGCACAGATCTGTGCATGCATGCCCACATTGAACACATGTGCACACCCAACAGATTCCCAGGTGCTGATGCAACAGCACACCTGTGACACGTGTGGTTTTGGGTGTAGCAAACGTGGCCCCAGGTACACAAACAGGATTTAAGAACCTTCTTCTTGGGTTATACCTTGTCCTCACCTGGTCATCTCTGAGTGCATGGCCCTGAAAGCCCCTTACCTGCCATCCTCCTAGTTTTTATACTCGTCCTGTCCATCGCCCAGCCATCCAGCATCTGCCCTTCCTCTCAGCATCCATCTACCATCCATTCACCATCCATTTATCCATCCAGTATTCTCCATCCACCATCCATCTAACCACCCATCCTCCATCCACCCACCGTCCATTTTGCCATGTAACTATCTGTCCACTGTCCATCCAACATCCATCTACTATCCAGACATCCTTCCACCATCCATCCATTCATTCATCCGGTGTTCCACGTCTGTCCATCAGTCCATCCATCCACTCACTGTCCACCCAACATCCATCCACTCATCATTTATCCACCTCCATCCATCCATTTATACATCCATCATTCATCTTCTATCCCTTCATCTGCCCATTTCTCTACCATCCATCCATCCACCATCCACCCACCAACCATCTATCTATCCATCTATTTATCCACCCACCCATGATCCACCCCATCCATCCATCCACCATCCAACCATTCATCTGTCAACTATGTGCTATCCATGTATGTCTACCCACCATCCATTCACCATCCATCCATCTACTATCCAACCTCCATCTACCAATCTATCCATCCATTTCATCTACCATTCATCCATCAATTGATCATCCATTCATCATTCATTATCCATCATCCATACACCACATACCCCATCCATCATCTACCTACCCACTCACCCACCATCCACCCATCTGTCTGTCCATTCATTCATCTGTCCATCCATTCACAATCCATCCACCACCCACCTATCCCTCCATCTACCCTCCAGTTATCCATCCACCTATCTACCCATCCATCCATCATCCATCCACCATCCATCCATCATTCATCTGTTCATCACCCACCATCCACCTTGAGAGGAATCAGATATGGCTTTGCTATCAGGGACTCCAAATCTACTGGGGAAGTGGGCCCTGGAAACAGAGTGTGTCCTGAGTCCCAGGTGCTTCAGGGGTTGGGGAGAAGTGGTCAGCTCTGTGGCCTGTACAGCTGGGAAAGGCTCCAGAGGATAGTGCCCTCGGGTTGAGTGATGGGAGAGCGGCAGTAGCCCGGATGTCCTGAGCAGGGCCAGGACAGGAAAGGCTTCGTGTTCATCAGGGACGGGGGGTGGGGGTGTGACGGGGAGGCATGGAGCTGGGTTGTGCCCTGGCCTCTCTTGGCCAGGTGTCCCTAGTCAGCATGAGCTGGCTCATGTACAGACACCTGGCCATGGCCCTGGGGGAGGGCTATGGATGGGGTCGGGGTGTGTCCCTGGCAAGCCTGGGGACTGTGCTGGATACGGTAGTGCAGAGTGAGATGCAATCAGATGTGCACTCTCGGGAGAGGGTGGAGGGGCAGGTGGTGTGCTGGGCTGGGCGTTGATGGTGCATTCACAGGAAGGGTGTGGGAGGCTGTTAAGGGGGGGCCTGGCCGGGGTGGGTGCACAGAGCAGGCAGTGGTTGCATCTGGGAAGCCCCTGAGCTGGAGCCTGCTCTGTACAGGGCAGGGGGCAATTGCCACATGGCATTAGGGGTCCAGAATATTAGTGCCAGAGGGACCTCAGAGGGCAAGTAGACAAACGAGCCTGTGGGGATGTCAGGAGCATCTGCTTTCACACTCCCAGGGGCAGAGGGCTCACTTCCCAAGGCAGACCTCCACTCTTCCAGAGCAGTGGACCCCTGGACTCTCCTTCCCACCCCCACCCCCACCCCAAAGATTGCAGCCATGCAATCTTTGTGTTCTGCCTTCTGAAAAGGGTGTTGATGCAGGTCATTCATCTCCTCTGTTGAAACCAGATGTGTTCTGAACACGGTGTTGGGTGCAGAGGGGCGAGCCGGCCCTCCAGGGGTAGCTCTGGTGGGGGGGTCTCCACATCTCTGAGCAGAGAGGGCCACTGGCCCCAGTGGATCTCTAGACCTTAGCCCCAGGATGGGCCCTTGGACCAGGGTGCTCTGAAGGGTGCATCCCAGGGCAGCCCCGTGGACCCTGGGCACCCCAGCCTCCTTTTGCCCTCTTGCACAGAGGCAGCACCATGCCTGGTACGTGGCTTGCAGAACGTGGACGTCTTTGCGGGGGAGGTTGCCACGTTCTCCTGTGAGGTGTCCCACGCAGGTGGGCCAGAGGCCCGCTGGTGGCTGGATGGCACCCTGCTGCAGGATGGTCCCCAGAGTGCCATCTCCGTGTGTGATGGGACCTTCCACTCCCTCACGCTCTCAGGCCTGGGGGTCGCCGACTCAGGCACCATCACCTACCGTGCAGGGCCCCTGGTCTCCACGGCCAAGTTGTTGGTCAAAGGTATTGGCCAATGGGACCCCATCCTGGGCTGGCGCTTCTGCACCTGCTGTCCGCACACACTTCCTGTGGGCTCCTGGGGTTGGGGTCAGGGATTGGGCCCCAAGATGCAGCCTGGATATCACACCTCTCGTGCTGTGGGTGGGCAGTCAGGCTGCCATCCCCACTCGTGGATGAGCAGGCTGGCCTTGGAACGGTGAAGCTGGACACTGACCCCATGCCCACCTGCTTGCAGGACCCTGCCTGGTCACCTCCCTCAGGTGCACACCTGGAGGGCAGCCTGGAGGCAAAAGCAGCCTTCCTGGTCCTGGTGGCCTGCACTCTCCCTGCTTGGGCTGCTTCTCCTGCTGTGGGCTTGCTCGGGCCTTGTGCCCTTCTGGGGAAGATATAGCTATTGGGGAGGGCAGTGGGCTGCCAGGGACCCCCACCTCAGCCCTCTTCCAGGAAGGGTGCCAGGAACTCCTGGGATAGCTGGCTGGCGAGGTTTGCCTGGTGTGCTAGCTGCAGGCCTCCTCTGCATTCTTGCAGGATAAATGTGGACACTCACCCATGTCTGAGGGGAGAACCATTTCTTGAGTAGGATTTTGGCAGGTGGAGGTGGGATGGCGAAGCCCCGGAGGCTGGCTGTGAGGACTCTGGAGAAGGGGCATGCTAAGCTGGGGGTGCCACATGCCCAGTGGAGTACATAGACTCTGAGCAGGAACGTAGTGCTTTCGGTAGGGATGTTGTGCCTGATCGTCTCTCCCAGGGGTGTCTCTGACTGCGGGGAGGTGGAGACTCTAGGCAGCAGTGGCCAGGAAGGGCCCAGCCTGGGTGGAGGACAGCGCCATCTGCCATGGTGGGGAGGCACGTTGGAGCGAGGCTTGCCCCATGGAGGGCCTTGGGTGGCCATGGCAGATCCCCCTCCCAGGGCAGCCCCTTGCTTGCTTGCTGCTGAGCCGTTGAGAGCAGAGGGGGGGTGGGCCGCAGCCATGTCGCCCTGGCTGACGCGTGCCTGGGCATGTCGGCTGACAGATCCCACAGTGGAGGTGGTGAGTGCCATGCAGGACCTGGTGGTGGAGGAGGGCTGCCCGGCCGAGCTCCTCTGTCAGTACTCACGGCCCGTGCAGGCCACGTGGAAGATGGACAAGCAGGAGGTGCAGGCGGATGGGTGCCGTGTCATCATAGAGCAGGACTGGACCGTGGCCAGGCTGTCCTTCAGGCCGGCCTTGCCCTGCGACAGTGGCATCTATTCTTGTGAGGCTGCGGGCACCTGCGTGGTGGCCCTGATGCAAGTGCAAGGTGAGGCCACCCAGCAGGCCGCCCCAGCCCAGCGCCGCTTCGGCGAGGCTAGGGTGCCATCGTGGGGCAAGGGCAGGCAGTGCCAACCAGTGCCGTGTCGGGTGACCCCACTGGATGAGCTCCCAGCGGATGACCCTGGAGGAGCTGCTGGGCCCTGGGCTCACCTGCCTAGACCCCTGCCCCTCCCTAAGCAGCCTGAGGGCAGAGTGGAGGGCGCTGGGCTGAGCTCCCGTGTCCTGGGTTCAGATCCCAGCCCTGCTCCTTCTCAGGCAGGCTACCCAGAAGGCACTCCCAGCCCTCTGAGCAACAGGGCAGGGGCACGCTTTGGGGGCCATAAGCAGGGTACAGTGGGCTGGAGCCCCTGCGGAGGAGGGGCATCCTTTTGCTGTGGCCACTTCCTGTTGGGGCAAATCTGAAGGGCTCCTGGTGGGAGTGAGCTGGAGGGTGGAGGACATCCCCTAGGGAGGCAGGAAAGCATGGTGGGAGCAAGGGAAGGCCTGAGGGGGGTGGGGGCCAAGTTGTGGATCTCTGGGGCAGGGCCCAGTGAAGACTATCAGTTGTGCTGTGCGAAGAAGAGGGTCTGGGATGCAGGGAAGTCAGTTCTGTGATGAGAGCAGCCCCGGGGTAGGGAGGTGGCTGAGAGAGGGCTGTGGGCAGGCCCTGTGGCCCTTCTAGATGCGCCCCCTTCATCTGGAGAGCACACCCCTGCCCACAGGGCTTGTGGACTCCGACTGGGTTGGGAGGCAGCATTCTGGGATGTGTGCCCCACAGAGCTGCTGGGGCCCTGAGCCTGGATGAGGCCCGGCTGCCCCTGTCCTGGCCCCTGCCTGCCCTGGCTCACCCTCCGTCCCCCTCACCCAGCTCCCTGTGGTCCCCACACCTCCCTCCTTCGTTCCCAGTCCGGCAGCTCTTCTTGTCACTCTTGCCCGGACACCTCTCCTGCCTGGCCCAGCCATGCCCTCCTCAGTGTCCGCCTCCTCCAGACGCCCCGCCATGACTGCACAGCTGCAGTGCAGGTGGCCCGTTGTGGGAAGGGGCGCTAGGGAGTGGCAAGAAGTGTGGCCAGGCTTGGAGCTGGAGCTGGGGCCCGGCGTGCACAGTCCTCAGCCTGGAACCATGGCTTGTGTGTACAGGAGGGTCGGAGGGGGTCTGGGAATGAGGGAGGAGGTCTGCTGATCCTCCCAAATGAGGGGCACAATGCACCAAGCTGGTAACACGTTCGGGCCGGGGCAGAGGGGGACGAGAGGAGAGGGGGCTGCTCCCAGAGCCTCCTACGCCAGGTTTCAGCCAGTTTCGGCCCCAACAAGTTTCGGGTGCAGGGCCTCCCCATCGCTGGCCCTTTGCAGCATGGGCTCGGGCCCCGCCCACACGGCTGCGCAGGCGCCCGGAGCGGAGGAGGCCCTGCTTGCTGAGTCGCTCTCTCCCCGCAGCCAAGAACACAGTAGTGCGCGGCCTGGAGAACGTGGAGGCGCCCGAGGGCGGCGAGGCACTGTTTGAGTGCCAGTTGTCGAGGCCCGAGGTGGCCGCCCACAGCTGGCTGCTGGACGATGAGCCTGTGCACACCTCCGAGGACACTGAGGTGGTTTACTTCGAGAATGGCCTGCGTCACCTCCTGCTGCTCAAAAACCTGCGGCCACAGGACAGCTGCAGGGTCACCTTCCTGGCAGGGGAAGTGGTGACATCGGCGTTCCTCACCGTCAGAGGTTAGTGGGATGGGGTGAGGGGAGGCCACGGGGACATCAGGGTCTGGGACCCCTCACACAGAAGGTTTGGGGGCCACCTATTCTGTGTAGGTGGATATGCTGATCTCTGAGACCCCTCCTACCCTAGGTGTGCCACCAACTCTGCTAGGGGGCAGGAGGAGTGCCGGGGTGGCAGGACCCAGTTGTGTGGGGGTGTCCGAGCTGCCCCCAAAGGCCTCCCCTCAGACAGCATGCTCACACTCCCCTCGCCCGGGCCACCCTCGGCCCACACGCTCACGTCCCCCGCACCTTCTCCCCACCCTGCAGGCTGGCGCCTGGAGGTCCTGGAGCCCCCGCAGGACGCTGCTGTGCCAGTAGGTGGGCAGGCGTGCTTCAGCTGCACACTCAGTGAGGCGGTGCCACTGAGCGAGGCGACCTGGTACATCAATGGGGCCACCGTGCAGCCAGATGATGCTGAGTGGACTGTCACCGTGGATGGCAGCCACCACACCCTGCTGCTGTGCGGTGCCCAACTGCACCATGCTGGCGAGGTTACCTTTGCGGCCCGTGACGCTGTGGCCTCCGCGCGGCTCACCGTGCTGGGTGGGTGGCTTGTGGCACTTGCTGCAGGCTGGTGCCAGGGCTCTCCTGTGGGCTGGGCGGGGGGGCAATAACTTCCAGCCCTGGAGACTGCTTGGGACTTTCCATGACCGCCGCTCTGGGCGGGCTCTGGGTGCACGAATCCACTCTCTCAAATACATGGAGTCTCTCAGGGGTGGTCTGCCCAGCACCGACACTGCACCCCAGAATCACACCCCAGGGCAGCCGAAACTGTGGATGCCAACTGGGACCACCCCTGACTGCCCCATCCTGCAGGCCTCCCTGACCCCCCAGAGGATGCAGAGGTGGTGGAGTGCAGTGGCCGCTCTGTGACGCTGTCCTGGGTCGCACCTGCCAGCGATGGAGGGGGCGGTCTCCGTGGCTATCGGGTGGAGATGAAGGCAGCAGCCACTGGAGAGTGGCAGCTATGCCATGAGCTGGTGCCTGGCCCCGAGTGCCTAGTGGACAGCCTGGACCCTGGAGAAACCTACCGCTTTCGTGTGGCAGCCGTGGGCCCTGCGGGTGCTGGGGAGCCTGTACACCTGCCTCAGACAGTGCGGCTTGGTGAGTCACAGCCCTGGCCGGGCTGAAGGTGGGTCCAGCTAGGAGTGCTCAAGGCCTCCCCAAGGGGAGGGTAGGGGGCAGGGGTGAGCCCTTGCTGACGTGTCCTGTCCCTGCCTGGGACGCTATTGCCATCAGAGCCCCAGGATCCTCCATCTGTGGCCCCCATCCCCGAGAGCCGGCAGGTGGTCACTGGCGAGGAAGTGCGTCTGGAGTGCCACATGGCTCAGGCGGGCGAGGTCATCTGGCTGAAGGGGACAGAGCCCATTCAGCCCAGTGGGCGCTTCCAGGTTCTCTGCCAGGGTCAGCAGCAGACGCTGGTGATCCAGGGCTTCTCAGCGGAGGACCAGGGTGAATACATCTGTGGCCCTGCCTGCGGCCCCCCATCCGCTGCAGCCGCCGCCTTCCAGGGTGCGTCCCGGGATCCAGCTGGGTGGGGCAGCGGGACCCTGGGGCGTGGGGGCCGGCCAGCCCTGCTCCAGATGCACAGACACAGTGGGGCCCAGCTGCCTGTCAGAACCCGTTTACCTCTCAGGCCACATCCCTCCCTGAGGGGGCTCCTGGCTAATGCAGCCTGTGGTACCCACTGCTTGTCCCTTAAGCCCACAGGCCCCTACACTCTGAGCCCCTCCATACTCTGAGACCCGCTGTGCACTGAGCCCTGCTGCCCTGAGCCCCCATGACCTCTGAATCCCCCAGCATTCTGAGCTCTCATGACCTCTGAGCCCCCCACCTCCTGCACTGACCCCACTCCACCTGCATGGACCCTGGCTGCATGTCCTGTGCAGGAGGTAGACTGAGGCATGGGTTGCTCAGTGGAGACCCAGAGATAGCCATTCAGAGCCTCTAAAACCTCATAAATATAGTGCCCTCGGAGCTCTCAAGGGTCTCAGGCAGGCAGCAGAGGCCAATGTAGGGGAACGGCAGCCGAGGTGGCTTGGAGTCCTGGCTCAGTTCCCACGTAGCCGACCAGCCTCCTGCTCTCCTCAGTGGTGCTGACCCCGGGGCCTGGGGCTGAGGCCCCCACGCAGCCCAGCCTGCCCCCCGAGGCCGCCCAGGAAGGTGACCTGCACCTGCTGTGGGAGGCCCTGGCTCGGAAGCGCCGCATGAGCCGTGAGCCCACCCTGGATTCCATCAGTGAGCTGCCGGAAGAGGACGGGCGCTCGCAGCGCCTGCAGCAGGAGGTGGAGGAGGCAGCCCCTGACCTCTCTGAGGACTACTCTACGGCTGATGAGCTGGTGCGCACGGGTGAGGCTGACCTCTCGCACACCAGCTCTGACGACGAGTCCCGGGCAGGCACTCCTTCCCTGGTTACCTACCTCAAGAAGGCTGGGAAGCCCAGCACCTCACCGCTGGCCAGCAAGGTGAGCCTGCAACTGGACTGCTAAGGAGAGGAGGCTGGGTGTCCCAGATCTTCACCCTCAGCCATTGTCCATCCACACAGCACCATTCACTGTCCATCTGTCCATCCACTATTTATTTGCCTGCCCACCCATCCATTACCCACCCACCAACCCATCCATCTCCCCATCTGCCATCCATTTATCCATACATCTGTCTACCCATCTATAAACCATTTGTCCACCATTGTCCACCCATACAATCATCTGTCCACCATCTGTCCGTCCTCCATCCAGTTATCCATCTATCCACCCATTCAGCACCCACCCATCCACCCCTCTGTCCATCATCCATCATCCACACATCTATCCATCCATCCACCCACCCACCCCCATCCACCCATTCATCATCCATCCATCCATCTGCCCATTCACCTGGCTACTAAAACTTTTTCCTGAAGAGCTGGAACTGTCCTCTCCATGGCATTTCTCACAACCCTGTTATTCTCTGTTTGGGTGACTATGTAAAGTGATTCATGGGAGGGTGGGCTTGCTTTTTGGCAGCAGGGGAGCCATTGGGCATCTGGCCTCAGTGTACACGGTGCAGTTGCCAGCAGGCAGGAGGCACAGTGGTGTGCTGGAGCTAGACATAGAGCTCGGGTGGGAGGCCCAGATTCTGCTTCCCACCCTGCTCCATGTGTCCTGCACTGCCCTTTCCCCATCTTCGGCCTCAATTTCCCTACTTAACCGGTGCGCACAGATTGGGGCCCCAGCAGTCCCGTCTGGGAAGCAACAGCAGCAGGAGCAGACGGGAGACCTGAGTGCCGAGGACCTGGGGGACCCATCCATGGACAAGGCGGCTGTGAAGATCCAGGCTGCCTTCAAGGGCTACAAGGTCCGGAAGGAGATGAAGCAGCAGGAGGGCCCTGTGTTCTGCCACACATTTGGGGACACTGAAGTGCAGGTGGGGGACGTCCTGCGTCTGGAGTGTGTGGTGTCTAGCAAAGCAGACGTGTGTGCTCGCTGGCTGAAGGATGGCGTGGAGCTGTCTGATGGCAGGCACCACCACATTGATCAGCTCAGGGACGGCACCTGCTCTCTGCTGGTCACTGGCCTGGGCCATGCCGATGCTGGCCACTACACCTGTCAGGTGAGCAGCAGGTTTGGCAGTGTGGCCCACAGCGCCTGTGTGGTGGTCAGTGGGACGGAGAGTGAGGCAGAGAGCTCCTCTGGGGGAGAACTAGACGATACCTTCCGCCGGGCTGCCCGGCGGCTGCACCGCCTCTTCCGCACCAAGGGCCCAGCCGAGGTTTCGGATGAGGAGATCTTCTTCAGTGCAGACGAGGGCTTGCCAGAGCCCAAGGAGCCTGGGGACTGGCAGACTTACTGTGAAGACCAGCACTTTGTGTACATCTGCTTCAAGGACCTTGCTGAGGCCCGCCGGGCTACCACCTGCTTCCGGCAGATGTTTGGCACACTGGGCATCGGAGTAAACATCAGCCTGTCAGAGGAGGGGCCCCGGGGGGTGGAGATGCGCATCAGCAAGGTGGCCTCCGTCCCTGCAGCACCTGTGGAACCAGCGCTCAGCTTGCTGACCAGCGAGGCTGGTGAGTCCGCAAGCTGCCCAGACCGGGCTCAGGAACGGGGAGAACAGGGCCAGCAGTGGTGACCAGGGTGAGGTGGCCATTCAAGGAGCTTGCTGGGCTCCAGGTTTGGGCTGTTTGAAGCCTACTGAGCTGGCAAGAGTCCTGACTCTGACTTGGGGTTAGTCAGAGCTCGATTTGAATCCGGGGTGTGCCTGTTACCAACTAGTCCCCCTGAGGCTCTATATCCCCAGCTGGGAAATGTTTGTGGGAATACAGACTTTCCAGAATTTGTTTTATCCCCCATGGGGATTTGAAATGTAATCTGTATGAGAGGCGGGTTCCACGTGGCCTAGTCTGCATGGCATTCCTCACTCCAGCAACTAAAATTAATTTTAAAGCCATTTCACTGTTTTCTTGTATCACCCTAGAACATCAGAGTGGGGTATCATTATCATCACCTGTTAAAATGTCCCCTTGGAAACGATTTGGGGCCCCTCTCACACTTCCAGTGCTTGGACTCCCAGGTCACAAGGCCTTTGTCTCCCCTTTACCTGCTCTTTCTCCCTGTTGCCTGTCAGCTATCCCTCTGACCTCGTGGTAGCTTGGAAACTGGGCTGGTACAGAGAAGGTTCTCCTGGAGAATGGGGAGAAGCTGGCAGAGACAGCATTCTGTTAAGCTGCTGACTCTGCCAGCACCCCCATGGGAATGGGTGCTGTGTACACCATGCACGTTGAACTGTTGGCAGCTGGGGTGGTTAGGGTAGGAGGGTAGCCCAGAGAACACTCCATGAACACCCTGCCTGTCCCTCCAGCCCCAGTGTTCCTGACTGAGCTTCAAAATCAGGAGGTGCAAGATGGGTACCCCGTGAGCTTCGACTGTGTGGTGACGGGCCAGCCCGTGCCCAGTGTGAGCTGGTTCAAGGATGGGAGGTTGCTGGAGGAGGATGACCATTACATGATCAGTGAGGACCAGCAGGGCAGCCACCAGCTCATCATCACGGCTGTGGTGCCAGGAGACATGGGTGTCTACCGCTGCATGGCCGAGAATAGCGTGGGTGTGTCCTCTACCAAGGCAGAGCTCCGTGTGGACTGTGAGTGCGCAGTCTGGGTTTGATGACCCCAGGGGGTGTGGCTCAGGGGCTCCCAGCTGGGAGGGGCAGTGCTGGGTGGGAGGATGACCTAGAGATCACTGGTCTTGGGCTGAGCAGGGTATGGGGCCTCAATGTGTTGCGCTGATGTTGAGTTCTCTGAGAGCCCCCTGGGGTTGGGGTGGGGACTTTATCTCCTTGAGAGCCATCCAGACTGGGGAGGAACCTGGGAAGGTTTTGTAGGTGCCCCAGGCAATTCGGTCTTGCACCTGGTTTCTGGCATATAGCTCCTAAATCCCTTGAAATTGCCTGAGTGGATAAGAGCATGTTTCCTTCTAACACAGTGACTCCTGGCGGGCTCCTGGATAGCTTCAGAACAAATGTGTCCGTCTGATCTTTGGCAACAATGCAAAAGCAGTTAATGTAGAGGAAGGACAGAATTTCAAATTCCAGGGTAGGATTTCAAATGGTGCTGGGTAATTGGTAGACAAATAAATGAGCTTTGATCTTATACAAAAATTAGCTCAAAATGAATTACATAGTTAAATGGAAAATATAAAATGTAAGTATGTTACATAATATAATACAAAAATATAAAACTATGAACTATAGAACTTTTAGAAAGAGGAGCAGATCCTCAGGACCTAGGGCTAGGAAAATACTTCTTGGACTTGACACTAAAGCAACATCCATAAAACCATAAAAGGGAAAATTGGTAAGCTGGGCCTCCTCAGGTTAAAACTGTTTGCTCTTAGAAAGACCCTATGTGGAGTATGAAATACTACAGCTGCAAAAAAATATCTACAAACCGTATAGCTCATAAGAGACTTGTATCTAAAGTATATATAAAGAATGCTCAACATTAAAGAGTAAAAAAAAATTTTTAATCTATTTAGAATAGAGCAAAAGACATGTGCAGACATTTCATGGGATGGGACACTCAGAAGGCAAATAAGCACATGGAAGACGTTCAGCATCTCTAACTACCAGGGAAGTGCTAATTAAAAACCGAGTGAGATAGTGCTGTACCCTTTCAGGATGGTTACAGTAAAAAATGGCGATAACACCCAATGCTGGTGGAGATGCAGGGAAACGGTCTCACTCAGGCATTGCTAGTGGGACTGTAAATGGTACACTTGCCTTGGGAAAGGGTGCAGCAGTTGCTTATACAACTAACCATGTAGCTATGATATGGCACAACAGTTGTCTTGGCATTTATCCCAGAGAAATGGAAACTCAAATTCAATAATAAAAACTGTACCCGAATGTTCACAGCAGCTTCATTCCCAATGGCCAAAAACTGGTAACAATTCAACTGTCCAGTGGGTGAATGGCTACACTGGGGCATAGCTATTCTAGGCAATAGGAGTTGGCAAAGAATGTGTTACTGACATGTGCCACAACTGTGACAAAATTTCATCTTAGTCATGAAATCAAACAAACATACGAGTTCATGTGTAACATGAAATCTGAGCAAGGTTGAGGGACAGATCAATATCCTCTCTTGTAATTATGAGAGAAGTGAACTTTGCCAGAAACTGATGAAGAATATATGGAATATCTGGATTATTTCTTAGAACAGCATGAGAATCTACCAATATGTCAAAATGAAAGGGGAATACAACTATTAAAGTGACAATAACAAGTCAGTTAAATAAGATATGATCGTGTATATTTACTCAAGTAGAGTTGAGCCTTGAACAACATGAGGGTTGGGGCACTGACCCCTTGTGCAGTTGAAAGTTGCATATAATCTTTGACTCCCCCAAAACTTAACTGCTAATAGCCTGTTGTGGACTGGAAGCCTTACCAATAAGATAAACACATTTTGTATGTTACATGTATGGTATACTGTATTCTAACAATAAAGTAAGCTAGAGAAAAGGAAATGTTTCTTCAAATCGTCACAAATCTCCAAAATTTTTCCAATAAAATCTGCATATAAGCAGACCTGTGCAGTTCAAACCCATGTTGTTCAAGGGTCAACTGTAGTTCTGTTTCCAAGGTTTTCATTCTGCTGTGTAGATCTAGATCTCCATCTGGTATCACATTCGTAGTCTGGATATGCTGCAATTCTTTTCACTTTCTTATGTTGGAAAAAAATTGTTCTTGTATTTTGTTACATTTTTCTTCTTTCCATACTTTAAAGATGTCGCTCCATGGTCTACTAGCTTGTATGGTTTCTGCTGAGAAATATGATGCCCTTCTTATTTTAAATTTCTCTGTACGTAACTTTTATTTTGAGATTTAAAATTTTTCAGATATTTGCACACCATAAAACTTACCATCTTAAAATGTACAGTTCAGTAGTTTTTAGTACATTCACAAGATTGTGTGTGCACTACCATCTAATTCCAGAACATTTCCACCATCTCAGAAAGAAACCCCATACCCGTAGGCCGTCATTCCCTCGTATTCCTTCCTGGAAGCCACTAATCTAGTTTCTGTTTCTGTGGATTTACCTATCCTGGATATGTCCTATAAATGGAATCATACACTATGTGGGCTTTTGTGTCTGGATTCTGTTGCTGAGCTTGTTTCCAAGGCCCATTCATGTTGCAACATATCAGTGCTTTTTTCATTTTTAAGGAAAAATATTCCATTGTATATAGACTGTTCATCCATTCATTGATGATGTTTATCCACGGGCTTTGGCCCTTTGAGCGATGCTGCTATGAACATTAGTGTATGAGCTTTTGTGTGGAGATGTGTTTTCAATTCTCTCGGGTATGTACCAGTAGCAGAGTTACTGGTCATGTGGTGACTCTATGATTAGCTTTCAGAGGAATGGCCGGACTGTTTTCCACAGTGGCTGCACCATTTCACATGCCCGCTGCCAGTGTGTGAGGGGCCCAATTTCTCCACACCCTTGCCAGCACTTGTTATTGCTCCTCTTTTTAATAATAGCTGTCCTAATGGGTATGAAGTGGCATCTCATTGTAGTTATGATCTGCATTTTCTTAGTGACTTTTCCTGTTTTTTTGGATACTTGCATGTCTTTGGAGAAATGTCTCTACAGATCCTTTGCCCATTTTCAAATTGGGTTGTCTTTTGATTTTGGATTGTAAGAGTTCTTTCTTTATTCTGGATACTAGATCCTTATCAGATATGTGATTTTTGAATACTTTTTCCCATTGTGTAGGTTGTCCTTTCACTTTCTCAATGGTGTCCTTTGACACACCAAAGTTTTTACTTTTTTATATGTTCCATGTCTCTACTTCTCAGACACACAGAATATAGTTCTAATTTCCTTCTCTGCCGTTCTAACATCTGTACCAGTTCTGGGTTGGTTTCCACTAATTGCCCATTCTCCATATCTTGGGCTTGCCTTGCGTGTCTGGTGATCTTTGACTGGATGCCTGACAGTGTGAATTTTGCCCATTTGAGCTAGATCCTTTGTATTTCTGCAGGCTTCTTGACCGGGTCCTGGAATACAGTGAGTTGCTCAGAGGCAGTTTGGTCTTTTGGGGTCTGGCTAGTGTGGTTTGTTAGGTGGGGTCATGGTAGTGCTCAGTCCTGGGCTAATCTTCTGCCTGTAGCAAAGCAAGATCTTCCCTAAGTACTCTGGCTGATGCCCTGTGGGTTGTGAAAGCTTCCAGTCCAAGTGGAAACAGACCCCATTCCAGCCCTCCTGCTACTCTGGCACCATTTCTCCAGTCCTTGCAGCTGGCTCATTCCGTAGGTACACATGCCACCCTGTGCTCTGCTGACCCTCAAGGGAGAAGGCTCCATCTGGGTAGCTTTCCCTCCTCTGGGTTTCTGTCCTGTGGACTCCAGCTGCCTTCTACCCCCAGGACATTTGCTGTGTCTCCTCTACTCAGGGTCTGCCTTGCTCTGCCTCTGTTTCCCCTCCTGGGCCTGGAAACTCGAGGCGGGAGGCTTGGGGCAGTCACAGGGCCTACCATGTCTCCTGTCTTTCAGGGCTCATGGCGTAATGCCCAGTGACTTGAAAGCCATTCTGATAATTCTGCACCCAGTTCCTACATGTGGGTTCTTTCCCCACCACCAGGCAAGCCTGGACTCTGCTGCATGCAGTTATGTCATTCTGACCCTGCCTGCCAGGAATGACATGGGGCCCACAACCCCAATGGGACCGCCCCCACAGCAGAGGCCCAAGTCCAGGCTGTCATGGTGCTGCTGCCCAACCAGCTGGAGATCAGAGGTTCCCACAACCCTTCCCCAGGTTCCATTAATCCATAGAGTGGTTCACACAGCACTTTCCTTACCAGGTTAATGAGAACCGGTTTCACTAGATCACCGGTTCATCATCAAAGATGGGCCTCAAGGAATAGCCACACTGGAGACACACATGGGGCACAACTGTGGGAAGGGGCACAGAGATGCATGCCCTCTCTGGGGGCACCCCTGTCCTCAAATGCCCATGTGGTCCCCAACCTGCCAGCTCTCCAAACCCCGCCCTGGGTTTGTGGAGGCTGCATTACTTTGCTTGATTGATTAAATCACTGGCCATTAGTGATTGACAACCTCCAGCCCTTTCCCCCTCCCTGGAGATCAGGGGTGGGACTGAAAAGTTCCAACCCTTTAACCCCATGGTGGGCCCCTGGCCACCAGCCCCCATCCTTGGGGCTTTCCAAGTTCACCTCATTAACATAAACTCATATGTGGCTGACAGGGACTTGTTATGAATATCAAAACACCTGTATGGCTCTCATCACAGGAAACCCCAAGTCTTAGGAGTTCTGTGCCAGGGATGGAACAAAGACCAAATCATATTTCTTATGATTAATCACATCACCACACTCCCAGTTTCATGTATTTGTTTGTATTTTGGTGGTTTCAGGTAGGAGGTGTCTTAGGGCTGCTATAACAAAATACTGTAGACCAGAAGGTTTAAAGAGTAGACATGTATTGCTCATGGTTCTGGAGACTGGATGTCCGAGATCAGGGGGCCAGCCTCTCTCTCTCCCAACTTGCAGATGGCTGCCTTTTCCCTGTGACACTACCCGGGGACACAGTGAGGGCTCCCTGCCCTAAAGGGCATGGTTCCCACCATGGGGCCCCACCTCCATGAGCTCATCTAAACCTACTCACCTCCCAAAGGCCCTGCCTCTAAACACCATCCTGTTGGAGGTTAGGATTTCCACATCAGAAATCTGGGGGTCCCTGACATTAATCTACGCCAGAGAGTACATCTTCTCCCTGTTTCTCTATGGTGGCTGGAAGTAGAAGCCCCTAGCTTTGGTTTTGAGGCCCCTGTATCCCAGCATGATAGGACTGGAAGGTGCTGCTTTCTAGTTAGAAAGCCCAGGATCACTCACTGGTATTTACAGTTTGCAAGGTGCTGTAGTTAGTTACAGGCCCAGAGATGTAGGCTGGTGACAGCCTGGTGATGAGAGGGGCCACAGGATGGCCATGCCTCCCATGACTTCTGACTCAGTGGTACACATGACTCCCAGGGATGGCTGTGCAGTGACAGCCAGGTGGCCTCTGGTTCAGGGTCCATGTCTGGGCCGTTGGGGTGCAGGCTGTGCTCCAGATTTGCTGTTTCCTCTCCAGTGACCAGCACAGATTATGACACTGCAGCAGATGCCACAGAGACCTCATCCTACTTCAGTGCCCAAAGCTACCTGTCCAGGTACAGGACGGGCAGTGCCAGAGGGCTGGTGGTCCCGGGCCCTGGGGTTGGGGGGAGGGGCCAGCACAGACTGACAGAATCCAACACCTGGAGCCATCAACCAGGCCAGGCAAGTCTCCTCCCAGCAAACAGGGGACCTCAGAAACCATCCACCCCTCCAGGCGCTGGACCCCTTGCTGGTCCACCTCATGACTGCCCTTCTCTGTTCTCCCTGCCAGCCGGGAGCAAGAGGAGTCTACCTCAGAAGAGGGGCAGCTGCCTCAGGTGGTGGAGGAGCTGAAGGACGTCCAGGTGGCCCCTGGCTCACTCTTGGCCAAGTTCCAGCTCAAGGTGAAAGGTGAGGGGGAGCAGGACGTCTGGAGGCTGGATGCCCACTGGTGGCATGGGGTCTTTGAGGGGCCCTCACCCTGGACCATGTGGCTGTACAGTGCCCACCAGGCTGTGGCCCTGTGCTGACCAGCCCCCTGTGACCCTAGGCTACCCAGCACCCCGACTGTACTGGTTCAAGGACGGGCAGCCCCTGACTGCTTCCACGCACATCCGCATGACCGACAGGAACACACTTCATACCCTGGAAATCGTCACTGTGGCCTGTGAAGATGCCGGGCAGTACTCAGCCTACATGAGCAACGCCCTGGGCGCCGCCTACTCATCTGCTCGGCTGCTGGTCCGAGGTGGGTGCCGGGGTTCAGGCTGACATTCGTCCACACCCGGCTGGTGTCGTGCCCACAACCTGGGCTGAGGTCCGTCCCCACCCAAGCTGACATCATGTCCACACCTGGGCTAATGTGTCCACACCAGGTCTGGTGGTCACCGCCCCTGCTTCAGGAGGCCCCGGGTGCTGGAGGCCGCACACGGGAGCATGGCCCACGGGGCGCGGGTCGGTGAGGAAGAGGCCTGCCTGCAGAACCCAGTGCTGCCCTTGGCACACTGGTGGGGCTGTGCTGGCTCCGAGGCTAGCATGGGGTAGCATGCCGTAGGGCTGCGGGCTCTCCGCATGAATTCCTCGGCTGCTCAGCCCAGGTTTCAGGAAGGGCACTGTGTGTAGGAACCCCGCCCCACTGAGCAGGCCCACTGGCCTGGGGATGGGGCACCTGCTGCTGCAGGTCTGACCTCTGTGCCTCTTTCAGGCCTCAGCGATACTGAAGAGAAGCCAGCATCAGGTGAGTGACCACTGACGTGTTGTGGGGGTGCAGGTGGAGGCCTGGGGGGTGCCCTGAGGGACACATCCCCCCGGCAGAGGGGAAGGGGAGCTGGGAGCGGACAGAAGAGGTAGAATCCCGGCAGGGGAGGGAAGCCCAGGAAGAGGGGAGGAGAGCTGGACCTTCCCGGACAAGGTGGGCAGGGCCTTGGGGAGGAGGGGTGGGCTAGCTGAGCTGAGCTGAGCGGAGCTGCCGCGACGTGGGGGTGGCGCCGGGCCGTGGGGTCGAGAGGGCGGCCCCACAGGTACCCTTCCCCGCTGCCACATGTCTCCCCAGATGTGCTCGAGCAGCTGGCGCCGCCCAGATTTCTGGAGAGGTTCACCAACAAGACGGTCAAGGAGGGTGCCAGCATTACCTTCTCAGTGAAGGTGGAAGGTAGGCGGGCCTGCTCCCCAGGACTCCAGGAGGATAAGGCATGCCCCACTCTCCCTGCCCCCTAGGAGGACACGGAAGGCCGCTCCCTCCCTGCCTGCCTTCCCAGCCCCCGTCCCAGGGCCCCCTGGGAGGACAAAGCCCCACTCTCCCTGCCCCCGAGGACCGCAGGGAGGCTGGGGGGTCCCCACAGCTCCCAGTGATGGTCCCTCTGCCATCTGCTCCCGCCTGCAGGACGCCCAGCACCCGCTGTGCACTGGCTGCGGGAGGAGGCTGGGAGGGGTGTGCTGTGGATTGGCCAGGACACGCCGGGCTACACGGTGGCCAGCTGCGCACAGCAGCACAGTCTGGTCCTGTTGGAAGTGGGCCGGAAGCACCAGGGCACCTACACCTGCATCGCCACCAACAACGCTGGCCAGGCCCTCTGCTCCGCCAGCCTGCAAGTCTCCAGCGGTGAGTGGCGTGGCCACTGGGGGACGCGCGACCCTTCCCTGGGAGCCCCCTGGCCAGCTCCCACCCTGACCCTGGGCCCCTCAGAAGCCCCCTGCCATCCTGAGCCTCTGCTTCCTTGACCGCTCAGCCCCTCCCAAGCCTGCGGAGTGAGCACAGACCCTGTTCTCCCTGCCACCGAAGAGGTGACTGTGGGCCCCGGAGGGATGCCAGCACAACCCTGCCAAGGGGCTCCATGAGGACAGGGTGGAGGCCCCAGGGTATCCTGGGCAGGGTCCCAGAACCAGCTCAGAGGTCTGGGGCTCCCTTCTTCTCCCCGCAGTGCCCAAAGAGGTGGGGGTGGCAGAGGAGCAGACCGAGGCAAAGAAGGCCCTCATCTCCACCTTCCTGCAGGGGTGAGTGGAGCAACCTGGCCCTGGGGGACCACTGCTGCTAGGGAGGGACTCTCCAGACCACAGCCCAGCTCCACCGCTCCCAGGCTGTGTAGGACAGCATCCCCTTCTGTGCCTCAGTTTCCCCATTGTGAAATGTGGGCTTTCACTGTGGGGTCCCAGCCCACTGTCCCAGACCCTTTTACTGTCGGGCTCCTCAGCACATCCCCTTCCCCCTTCAGGACCCAAGCTGTCTCCACCCAGATGTCGGAACCTGCAGGTTTCCCCGACCTTGCTGGGCAGAGGAAAGGTTTGTGCTGGATGGTGCACGTCTGTGTGACGTGGGGGTAGCCGAGACCCGGGTGCAAGTGTGGGTTGTGGAGGACGCTGCCCAGACAGCAGGACCCAGGACTGTGGCCCCAGAAATGCCTGCTTGCCAGCTCTGGGCAGGGGGCTCCCCCACCACAGGCCTAGTGCTGAGCTTTAGTTGCTCTGGTAGCCGTTGCTGAGCCTTGTGGATCAGAGAGCCTGCAGGGAGGACCCCTCGGCTGGGCCAGCCCTCGGCTCAGAGCTCACATCCGCTGGTCTGTGTGGGTGCCCAGCCCAGGTGGGGGAGGCTGCTGAGCCACAGCCAGGTTGGGGTGAGGTCAGGGTGGGGGGTGGCCAGCAGGATCTAGTTTGTCCTGGGTTTTTCCCATGCTCTCAGCTGGGTCAGCCCCTCTGTAGCTCCCAAATGGGCACCATCCCCCACTCCCCCATGTCCAGCCACTTCCCTGCTGCCTGCGTGGTGGCTCCCTGCATCTGGGAATATTTTAACTTTTTCATGGAAAATATCGAGTCTGCACAGAAGTAGCAAGCAGTGTGCCATGTGCCCCGTCTACCGGTTATCCACCTTTGGGGTCACTTCTTAGCTGACCCCCACCCCAGGCAGCCCTCATTCACCCTTAACCCCAATCCCTGCTAAGCATTTTGTTTCCATGTGCTGACTCCAAACCAATCACAGCCACTGGGCCTCTGAGCCCCCAACCCTTGGGCCACAATTTGGGGTCCTGACCCCTGCCTTCAGTGTCCACACCCACCCTTATCACCCACTACTGTGCTGCCCCCTGTCTCCTCGGAGTCCCTTCCTAGACCAGCGGCCAGTGGCCAAAGGACTGAAAACAGCACAGACTGCTTCACGGCCAGCCCCACGCTCCTCCCAGTGTGACAGCCTGTCTGGGCCCTGTGACGTGGCTGTCACTGCCCTTACCCACCTCCTGGTGTCCACCTGGCCAGTCAGTGTCCCCTGACCACTGCATGTCCCCTCTGCCCATACCCTGCTTCCCTGTGTTGGCCCCCTTGGTCACACCTGGGCTCTGTGCCCTTGAGCCAATGGGCCCTGCTCTTGGTCAGCCTCCCTGTGTCCAGTGGCACTGGCCCTAAGTCTGTGTGTTTCTCAGCAACTTCAAGCCCCTAGCCCAGAATGGGCCTGAGGGGTGCTCAGGCACATCTGTGGGGTGCGTGGCCAGCTAAGCTTGGGCCTGGCTCCCAGGAGAGCCCCTGGCTACAGAGGTCCGCAGCCACTTGTCCCTGGCCGAAGTGGGCACGGAGGAGTTCCTGCAGAAGCTCACCTCGCAGATCACGGAGATCGTTTCAGCCAAGATCACGCAGGGTGAGCACAGAGCCAGGTCAGGGTGGGACTGACTGACCACAGCCCTTTGCCCTGGGACCAAAGGCCTCACACATGCCCTGTGCTCCCCAGCCAAGCTGCAGGTGCCTGGAGGAGGGGACAGCGATGAGGAGTCCAAGACGCCGTCTGCATCCCCTCGGCATGGCCGTTCACGCCCCTCCTCCAGCGTCCAGGAGTCATCTTCAGAATCAGAGGATGGGGATTCCCGGGGCGAGGTGCGGGGTTGGGATGGGGGCCAACAAGGGGTCAGTTGGGGTGGAGGGTCATGGGACACACACCTGCATGGCCAACATCACCACCAAGACCCAGGACATCTCGGCACCCCAGAGATTCCCCACTGCCCCCTTGGGGTGGCTCCCCAGCTCCCCAGCCCCCCAGTATGATTTTCCTCAGCAGACTTCTCAGGGTGGCTTTTTTCCCCCCAGTTAATGCCAGGGGCCCTGTAATCTGGGGCCTTGGGAGGCCCAGCTGGTGCCCTTTTGTTCCCCTATCACCTATAAGGTATTTGGGGGCTGTTGGGGGTTAGGGAGGGAGGCCTGGCTGGCCCCTCTCCATGTCCCTCTCCCATGAGGGGTCTTTGAGGGGGGCACTGGGGCTTAGGGAGGCCTGGCTGGCCCCTCTCCATGCAACTCAGCTCCCTGCCTCCCAGATCTTTGACATCTACATGGTCTCGGCGGACTATATGCCGCTGGGGGCTGAACAGGATGCCATCTCGCTGCGGGAGGGCCAGTATGTGGAGGTGCTGGACTCGGCCCACCCCCTCCGCTGGCTCGTGCGCACCAAGCCCACCAAGTCCAGCCCCTCTCGGCAAGGCTGGGTGTCCCCTGCCTACCTGGACAAGCGGCTCAAGGTACCTGGATGTGCAGGATGGGGGTCCCCTGGAGTGTTTTCCCCATGAGGGTAAGAGCCTGACTGCTACCCTCCCCACTTTTCACCAGCTGTCGCCTGAGTGGGGGCCTGCTGAGCCCCCAGAGTTCCCCCGGGAGGCCATGTCTGCGGATGAGTATAAGACAAGGCTGAGGTGAGGGGTCAGCAGACAGGAGCCAAGTGGCGGTTGGGGTAGACTTGTGGGGGTGCCCTCCCTCCACCCTCTGGCCAGTTTGTTCTGAAAGTGGGTGGGGGACTGCATGTGAAGAGGAGGTACCCCCCCACCCATTCAGCAGCTGAGCTCTTGGGTCTGCTCCTCACTGCTGTTCCCCAACAGCTCTGTCATCCGGGAGCTGCTGAGCTCCGAGCAGGCCTTCCTGGGCAAGCTGCAGTTTCTACAAAGCCACCACATGCAGCACCTGGACCACTGCCCCCATGTGCCCACAGCTGTGGCCAGCCAGAAGGCTGTCATCTTCCGCAATGTGCAGGACATCAGCCACTTCCACAGCAGGTGAGCCAGTGTATGGTTGGGACAGCTGAGGCTACCCCAAGCAGGCCCTGAGTGTGCACATGCATGTATAAACACACACACACACTTGGACATGCACATGCTCAGACACGCATGTACATGCACACACATATACACACATACTCAGACACAAATGCTTGATTATAGGTACGCGGACACACACACACATGCTTGGACATGCACATACTTGGCCAGCACATGCATATGCACACACATACACACATGCTTGAACACACACAGGGATATGCTCACACACATGCATGCACACCTATGCACATATGCAGTACACCTATTTGCTGCAACCTGTAACATAGGACACTCTGAAAACTTGGGCACACATATACTATGCATGCAAACCTGCACTGAATTGCACACCCTTACGTGCATGTGTTGCATGTATACACACATACAGCTGTGTGTATATGCAGTTCTTGGCATGCCTGCCCATGGCATGTGCGCACACACATGTGCATGCCTTCACCCACTGCACACAACACGCCCCCACAACCCAGAATATTCCCACTCCCAGGAGCCATGGGAACCTGGCCCTGGGCAGGAGCCTGTCTCCCAGCCAACCCTGAGGGCTCAGCTGTGTGTCACTCTCAAGGGTCCTGGTATCAGCCCTCACCCTGACCCACTGTACTCTCCATGGTAGCTTCTTGCAGGAGCTGCAGAACTGTGCCACAGATGACGATGTGGCCATGTGCTTCATCAAGAACCAGGTGGCCTTTGAGAAGTATCTGGAGTTCCTGGTGGGCCGAGTGCAGGCAGAGTCGGCAATGGTCAGCACTGCCGTGCAGGAGTTCTACAAGGTGCCCCTGCCTGTGCCCCCCTCCCTGTCTCAGTGCTGGCCTCTGGTCCTGGGATCATCTTCCCTGATCCTGCCTGGGCCCCTCATGGCCTGCCCAGACCCTGGGCCCTGGGCTTAGTGAGAAAAGCAGGTGGAGCCCCCAAGCTCCGTGCTGATCTCTCAGTGATACAGTGGGCAGGGATGATACTGGCCCGCAGGGGAGGGGCCATGTATGCTCCTGGGACCTGACCACCGGTTCTCAGCCTCAGTGACATTTCTGTCCCCAACCCCACTTGGGTTCCTGCAGAAGTACACGGAGGAGGTGCTGTCTCCTGGGGACCCCTCACAGCTGTCCGAGCCCACGCTGCAGCACTTACTTGAGCAGCCCGTGGAGCGGATCCAGCAGTATCAGGCCCTGCTCAAGGTGGGTGGGGCCCCTCCCCGTGGCCCCTCCCCATGGCCCCTCCCCGTGGCCCCTCCCCACGGCGCCTGGGCCGTTTCCCTGGGCTGCGCCATGACCTGCAGTTCCCCCAGGAGCTGATCCGGAACAAGGCGCGGAGCAGGCAGAACTGTGCACCACTGGAGCAGGCCTATGCCATGGTGTCAGAGGAGTTCCTGCAGAAGCTCACCTCGCAGATCACGGAGATCGTTTCAGCCAAGATCACGCAGGGTGAGCACAGAGCCAGGTCAGGGTGGGACTGACTGACCACAGCCCTTTGCCCTGGGACCAAAGGCCTCACACATGCCCTGTGCTCCCCAGCCAAGCTGCAGGTGCCTGGAGGAGGGGACAGCGATGAGGAGTCCAAGACGCCGTCTGCATCCCCTCGGCATGGCCGTTCACGCCCCTCCTCCAGCGTCCAGGAGTCATCTTCAGAATCAGAGGATGGGGAATCCCGGGGCGAGGTGCGGGGTTGGGATGGGGGCCAACAAGGGGACAGTTGGGGTGGAGGGTCATGGGACACACACCTGCATGGCCAACATCACCACCAAGACCCAGGACATCTCGGCACCCCAGAGATTCCCCACTGCCCCCTTGGGGTGGCTCCCCAGCTCCCCAGCCCCCCAGTATGATTTTCCTCAGCAGACTTCTCAGGGTGGCTTTTTTCCCCCCAGTTAATGCCAGGGGCCCTGTAATCTGGGGCCTTGGGAGGCCCAGCTGGTGCCCTTTTGTTCCCCTATCACCTATAAGGTATTTGGGGGCTGTTGGGGGTTAGGGAGGGAGGCCTGGCTGGCCCCTCTCCATGTCCCTCTCCCATGAGGGGTCTTTGAGGGGGCCACTGGGGCTTAGGGAGGCCTGGCTGGCCCCTCTCCATGCAACTCAGCTCCCTGCCTCCCAGATCTTTGACATCTACATGGTCTCGGCGGACTATATGCCGCTGGGGGCTGAACAGGATGCCATCTCGCTGCGGGAGGGCCAGTATGTGGAGGTGCTGGACTCGGCCCACCCCCTCCGCTGGCTCGTGCGCACCAAGCCCACCAAGTCCAGCCCCTCTCGGCAAGGCTGGGTGTCCCCTGCCTACCTGGACAAGCGGCTCAAGGTACCTGGATGTGCAGGATGGGGGTCCCCTGGAGTGTTTTCCCCATGAGGGTAAGAGCCTGACTGCTACCCTCCCCACTTTTCACCAGCTGTCGCCTGAGTGGGGGCCTGCTGAGCCCCCAGAGTTCCCCCGGGAGGCCATGTCTGCGGATGAGTATAAGACAAGGCTGAGGTGAGGGGTCAGCAGACAGGAGCCAAGTGGCGGTTGGGGTAGACTTGTGGGGGTGCCCTCCCTCCACCCTCTGGCCAGTTTGTTCTGAAAGTGGGTGGGGGACTGCATGTGAAGAGGAGGTACCCCCCCACCCATTCAGCAGCTGAGCTCTTGGGTCTGCTCCTCACTGCTGTTCCCCAACAGCTCTGTCATCCGGGAGCTGCTGAGCTCCGAGCAGGCCTTCCTGGGCAAGCTGCAGTTTCTACAAAGCCACCACATGCAGCACCTGGACCACTGCCCCCATGTGCCCACAGCTGTGGCCAGCCAGAAGGCTGTCATCTTCCGCAATGTGCAGGACATCAGCCACTTCCACAGCAGGTGAGCCAGTGTATGGTTGGGACAGCTGAGGCTACCCCAAGCAGGCCCTGAGTGTGCACATGCATGTATAAACACACACACACACACTTGGACATGCACATGCTCAGACACGCATGTACATGCACACACATATACACACATACTCAGACACAAATGCTTGATTATAGGTACGTGGACACACACACACATGCTTGGACATGCACATACTTGGCCAGCACATGCATATGCACACACATACACACATGCTTGAACACACACAGGGACATGCTCACACACATGCATGCACACCTATGCACATATGCAGTACACCTATTTGCTGCAACCTGTAACATAGGACACTCTGAAAACTTGGGCACACATATACTATGCATGCAAACCTGCACTGAATTGCACACCCTTACGTGCATGTGTTGCATGTATACACACATACAGCTGTGTGTATATGCAGTTCTTGGCATGCCTGCCCATGGCATGTGCGCACACACATGTGCATGCCTTCACCCACTGCACACAACACGCCCCCACAACCCAGAATATTCCCACTCCCAGGAGCCATGGGAACCTGGCCCTGGGCAGGAGCCTGTCTCCCAGCCAACCCTGAGGGCTCAGCTGTGTGTCACTCTCAAGGGTCCTGGTATCAGCCCTCACCCTGACCCACTGTACTCTCCATGGTAGCTTCTTGCAGGAGCTGCAGAACTGTGCCACAGATGACGATGTGGCCATGTGCTTCATCAAGAACCAGGTGGCCTTTGAGAAGTATCTGGAGTTCCTGGTGGGCCGAGTGCAGGCAGAGTCGGCAATGGTCAGCACTGCCGTGCAGGAGTTCTACAAGGTGCCCCTGCCTGTGCCCCCCTCCCTGTCTCAGTGCTGGCCTCTGGTCCTGGGATCATCTTCCCTGATCCTGCCTGGGCCCCTCATGGCCTGCCCAGACCCTGGGCCCTGGGCTTAGTGAGAAAAGCAGGTGGAGCCCCCAAGCTCCGTGCTGATCTCTCAGTGATACAGTGGGCAAGGATGATACTGGCCCACAGGGGAGGGGCCATGTGTGCTCCTGGGACCTGACCACCGGTTCTCAGCCTCAGTGACATTTCTGTCCCCAACCCCACTTGGGTTCCTGCAGAAGTACACGGAGGAGGTGCTGTCTCCTGGGGACCCCTCACAGCTGTCCGAGCCCACGCTGCAGCACTTACTTGAGCAGCCCGTGGAGCGGATCCAGCAGTATCAGGCCCTGCTCAAGGTGGGTGGGACCCCTCCCCGTGGCCCCTCCCCATGGCCCCTCCCCACGGCGCCTGGGCCGTTTCCCTGGGCTGCGCCATGACCTGCAGTTCCCCCAGGAGCTGATCCGGAACAAGGCGCGGAGCAGGCAGAACTGTGCACCACTGGAGCAGGCCTATGCCATGGTGTCAGCGCTGCCGCAGCGTGCTGAGAACCAGCTGCACGTGTCACTAATGGAGAACTACCCTGGCACCCTGGAGGCCCTGGGCGAGCCCATCCGCCAGGTTGGGGGACATGGCAGCCTCAGTGGAAGGGCAGGAGGGATCCCGTGGGACCAGACCCTGGCCTGCCGGCTGACCACAGACCTACCCACTCCCAGGGCCACTTCATTGTGTGGGAGGGGGCACCTGGAGCACGGATGCCCTGGAAAGGCCACCACCGGCATGTCTTCCTGTTCCGCCACCACCTGGTAGTCTGCAAGCCCCGGCGGGACTCACGCACAGACAGCTTCAGCTATGTGTTCCGGAACATGATGAAGGTTTGCGCCTACCTGGGCCAAGGGGGCCCCACAGGGTATGTGTTGGCTGGTGACAGCCACATCCAGGCATTCAGCCTTGTCCCCCCCACAGCTCAGCAGCATTGACCTGAATGACCAGGTGGAGGGGGATGACCGAGCCTTTGAGGTCTGGCATGAGCGGGAGGACTCGGTGCGCAAATACCTGCTGCAAGCACGGACGGTCATCACCAAGAACTCCTGGGTGAAGGACATCTGCGGCATACAGCAGCGCCTGGCCCTGCCCATGTGGCGTGAGTGCCCCAGCCTGGGCTGCAAGGCCTGATGAGACCCTAGCCTTCCCCTGGCTTAGGGACCCCAGCTCTCTGCCCCTGCCCTGGCAGGCAAGGTGGGGGCTCCAGCCTGGGGCAGTCGGACTGAATGTGGGGAGCCTCGGGGTTCACACAGGGGCCCCCCAGCACAGGGTGGGCACCCAGACCATGCTAGGATGTGAAACCCTGGCAGTCCCGGGTCCATTTCCTAATCAGGAATGGGACAGAAGGTCCCCTCTCTCCACAGAAATCCCTTCTCCACAGTCCCCACCATTCCCTGTTGCCCACCCAGCCTGCCTCACCAATTCCCTTTTGGTCCCAGGTGTGGGCCTAGACAGAAGCTCTCAAAGGGCAGAGTCCTTGGCAACCACACCCTTAGTTGTGGGGCTTCTAGCTGGGCCAGGGGTGCACAAAGGCTCAGGGGAGCCTATGGTCCCACCCACATAGGGCTCAGAGCCCATGTATGTGTCCCCAGACCCCCCAGAATTTGAAGAGGAGCTCGCTGACTGCACGGCTGAGCTGGGCGAGACAGTCAAGCTGGCCTGCCATGTGACAGGCACCCCTAAGCCCGTCGTCAGCTGGTATAAAGGTAGGCCCCCTGCCCGGCCCCCAGTCTTGTTCTTCCAGGTGCTGGGAAACAGCGGCAAATAGGCAGACCACCCCTGTCCAAAGGGGCTGGCCTCTGAAGGGGGAGACAGACGAGTAGACAGTCGTGTAATAAGTTGGGAATTAAGGCTGCCAGCCAGGTCAGTGAGGCAGAGCAAGGGGCAGTGTGGTGGTCAGCAGGCCTGCCCGAGGTGGACATGCTGAAGGAGTTCCAGTGAGTGGTAGGGCAACCAGGAGAGCCAGGAAGAGAGGGTCACTGAAGTGAGTGCTGTGGTGGGCCTCTCAGGTTTGACTCTGCATGTGACAGGAGCTGTAAAGTTTAGGGGTCCCCAGATCACCCTTGCTCCTGGCACCAAGTACAGGATGCCCCAACCGCTTTCGGGTTCATTGATTCTCTAGGACTCACAGAACTCAGAGCCATTCCACTCGGGGTTCAGTGTATTTCAGGTCAGGGAAGGAGTGCGTGGGGCAGGGTCCAGGCGGGGGTCCAGGCAGGGATCCAGATGGGCTCCAACTGGGGGTCCAGGTGGGGTCCAGTTGGGTGTCCAGGTGGGGATCCAGTGAAGTTAAGATGGGGGTCCAAGCAGGATCTATCTGGGGGTCCAGGCTGCATCCATCTGGGGTCTAGGTGGGGTCCAGCTGGGGCCCAGGTGGGGGTCCAAGCAGGACTCAGCTGGGGGATGAGGTTGGGGTCTAGGCAGGGCCCAGCTGGGGTCTAGGTGGGATCTAGGTGCAGTCCAGCTGGAGATCCAGGTAGGGTCCAGCTGGGGTCTAGGTGAGGGTCTAGGTGTGGTCCAGCTGGAGGTCCAGGGGTCCAGGTGGGGGTCCAGGAGGGGTCTAGGTGGGCCATTTGGGAGCCCAGCTCTCCACCAATCCTGTAGAATCGTGCACATGGTGCCTGTGTCTCCCGGCATCTGTGCGTGATGGCACATAGAAAGTGGCCAGCCAGGAACACTCACTCACCTGAGCTTCGGTGTGCAGGGTTTATGTTGGGCTCAGCTGGCCATCTGCACGGCTGACCTCAGTCACAGTTCCTTCAGAGGTCATGGTGCCGTGTCACCCAGAGCCCCAACCCTGAATCACAACATAGCAAAGACCATCCAGTGTGGTCCGAGGCGCCTATGTAAACCAAAATATGCTTATCAGGGGTCACCTGGTCTCAGGCAAGCCTCCAAATTCCCTGTTGGATCTGAGTAACAGTCCAGTTCTGGGTTTGGAGGCCCCGTCTGAGTCATCACCCCCTTCTGTTTGTAAGCTGTCGGGGGCATTTGTCAGTGCACCAGTAGCTAAGGATTAGCTACAGAGGGCCCTGGGGTATTGCTGGGACCCGCAGAAAGGGCCATGCTTGGGTCCTGTGGTCAGAGCTGCAGGGCATGCCTGGGTGCACACAGCTTGGGAGAAGGCCTGTGGCCAAGGAGGACCCTTCCCAGCCACCTCATCCTGCACGGAACCTGTGTCCTATAGCAGCCTGAACCGGCCTGATCTCACCATCCTTTCTCTTTGGGAGTGTGGGTTCAGAGGGACAGTTGTTCACAAAGCCCCCCAGAAGGAGAAATGAACCCTCGCCCCCACCAAGCCAGGCTGCCCCCAGGAGGGTGTGCAGTGGCCGCCTGGCTGGGGCAGCATCCTCCACCCCTTCGTCCTGACTGTTACCCTGTGAGTGCCCTGCAGGGGACATCCCTCTCTGGGGACAGCTCCATCCAGTGACTAAACCACCTTCCTGTGGCGGTGGACAGAGCAGGGGAGGGGCAGTAACGTGCATCTCATTTTGAAATGGCTGCCAAGTGGTCTGGACAGCATCTGCGGTCACCTGGGTATGGCCAAGGCCACTGACCCGAAGCAGCATGGCAGTGAGGAACACCACAGATAGGCCCATGAGGCACCCCCTGCCAGGATGAGGGGCCCACCCCATGCATGTGCCCTGGACCAGAGCCTGTCCGTGGGCCTGCCTCTACAGACTGTGTGGTGGGGCTTCTGACTTGCCAGCCAGCAAGGACATCGTGAATTGGGCAGAGTGCCAACCCACCCACGGGGACACATATCAGAGCCCTTGCCTGCACACCAGCAGGGTGGGAAGACAGGCATCCGTGTGCCCCTCCTGGGAGCCACCACAGCCACCTGTCTACACCAGGTGGACTGGTAGCAACCGCTGCCAGCCCACCTGGTCCTTTGCCACCTCATTTCCAGTGAATGTCCACAAAATGTTACCTCTCTGAACACAGCAAACATCAGGGTCCAGAGGTAGAAGCTACAGCCACAGTCCCCTGACTTGGCTTCAAGGTGACGTTCCTTCCTGCTCACTAGGGACCTTTCACATGCGCCATCAGCAGAGTCCAGGCATCTGTCCAGCAGAGCTGTGAAAGGCAGTCTCCCCAAGCTTGACGTGTCTGGGGTATTGGACGGGCAAGTGGGGCCTCCCTGCTCTGGGCCCAGGGAGAGAGGTCAGGGCAGAAGGGGACAGGGTGGACAAAACACATATCTGTGGCTTGGTAATATCCCATTTGGGGACCACCCAAAGCCCTAAGCAGGGCAGCAAGATTGTGGCAGTGAATGTCATCTGCTTCAGCTCCGGGGACCTGACTTAACCACCAGGTCACATGGCTCACCAGGGCTTCTGCTAGCCCAGGGCCATAGTCACGGTCTTGCCCAGCCTTGCTGGGCGGGAGCTCTGCTTCTGCTCGGGCCTCCTGCCCACCAGGGCCAGGACGGCCCTGCCTTGGTGCCCGGTGTGGCCTCCGTGGACTCAGCATGGTTCTAGCATTTGCTGGGGAGCACACGACTGAGGCCCCATCCTTGTGCTTGTCGGAGCCCACCTCTCTGTGCCAGCTGCAGCCCACTGCTCAATCTCTTCATCCACAGACAACAAAGGGGAGGGCTGTTGACTGCCCGGCTGATCTCATGGGTTGGTCGACAAGTCCACCACAGATCTCATGGACTGCACTTGGGTCCTGTTAATGCCCACGGACCAGGCCTTCTTTCTCTTCTGGATTGCCATGTCTCAGTGTCCCTCCTTTTCACCAAAACTGAGGAAATGTGGAGGGTCTGAGATGGTTCCTTGCTCACAGGCCACACCCCAACACCTGCACATGGGGCCAGAGGTGTGTATGCAGTTGGTTGCACTGCAGGAGAGAGACCCGAGTTTCGGGAGATGCTAAGCTTTAAACAGGCTGTGGGTGCACCTGCTCCGCTCTCCTCCAGAGAGGAGTGACCCCAGCCCCATAAGGCAGCCAGCATCCCTCGGGGAATAGCACCAGGCTTTGCCGCTGCCGCCCTGGCCCACTCCTGGGCATCCCCCTACACACACCTCTCTGCCGTGGCTATGGGTGTCTTTGTCCAGAAGGTCCACCCATGTGGTAAGCCAGGAGGCCACAGGAACTGCGCTCTTTGCAAGATTGACTGAGTTGACCCTGGGGTTGGCAGTGTCACCAATGGCCTTGCCAAGAGCCGTTTTCTGGGAAAAAGTCGGAGCAGGTTCAGGTGAAGATGGGACCCAGGGAGGGTCAGGTCATTCCTGGAATCATGAGACAGAGGCACAGAGAAGTGGGGTGGCAGCTGGAGTGGTGTCGGGGTTCTTTGTATAATTTTAAATAATTTCCTGAAGTTCCCTGTGAATGGGAGATCAGGACTCCACGTCTGAGCCACGTCCTTCACACAACCTCACTTGGTGCCCACGGCCCTGCTGGGAGGCACTCTTCTGTGCGACTTGCCGGGTGTGTGGAGGCGAGCTCCCCGGGGTGGGAGATGCACAGTTCGCAGCCCCCCTGGGGCAGAGACACGTGGCAGAGGTGCTGGCCTTGCAGAAGCTCAGAGGCGGATTAGCAATGCGCAGTGTCTGAGGGGCCCGCCCCTACCTCCAGGGGGAGCCTGCTTTCCAGACACCACACTGTGCACACAGGTCTGGGGAGGTGGATGGGAAGGCCAGCACGGTGTCTGTCCCAGTTGGGGCAGCTCGGCCAGCTGGCTCTCCGCTGTGGTGGTGACCCCCATGTGGGGCCCGACTCTTGTCCCTGGTGGGGGACCCGCCGTAATGGCCCTGCCCTCCTTTCCAGATGGGAAACCAGTGGAGGTAGACCCTCACCACATCCTCATCGAAGATCCTGATGGCTCATGCAGCCTCATCCTGGACAACCTGACTGGCACGGACTCCGGCCAGTACATGTGCTTTGCGGCCAGCCCTGCTGGCAATGCCAGCTCCCTGGGCAAGATTCTGGTGCAAGGTGTGCCTGGGAGGGAGGCAGCCAAGGGCTCTCAGGCCAGGGGTGGGGCTGGTGGGGGCAGTGAGGCCTGACCTGGGGGCCCGTGGTGGGATGGGACCCCCATCATGGCCCCTCTGTCTCTGTCTCTTCCCTGTGGCCCATAGTACCCCCGCGGTTTGTAAACAAGATCCGGGCAGCACCCTTCATGGAAGGCAAGGATGTCCAGCTCACCTGCACCATTGGAGGCACCCCACACCCTCAGATCAGGTGGGCCTGTGGCTCGGGTGGGGACGGAGGTCTTGTTCCCACCTATAAAACGAGTGTAGGTAGGTCGTCTGCAGCCTCAGAGGGGCTGGCCTTGGGGCCTTGGATGCTGCGGTGAGAGTGGACGTGAGGGCCTTGCTGCAGCCAGGACGGTGCCAGGCAGGGGAGGGAGGGAGGGCCCCAGAGCGGGGAGGCCCTGCTTCACTACCTGGGGTTGCCTTCAGGTGGTACAAGGATGGGGCCCTGCTGATGCCTGGCAGCAAGTACCGGACCCTGAGTGAGCCCCACAGCGGCCTGCAGGTGCTGGAGATTCGGGCAGCCACGAAAGGGGACCTGGGCCACTATGAGTGTGAGGTGAGGTGAGGGCCATCAGGGGGACCTGGGCTGTTACGAGTGTGAGGTGTGGGGCAAAGGGCGGGCTAGGGACCGACCTCATCACCACTGACCATGACCCACAATGAGAGAAGACACCAGGCTCACCACGGCCCCGTGTCCATGAGGAGAGAGAAGACACCAAACCTTGTGTGTTTGTGTGGCCCTTTGTCCATCACACAAGAGGGAAAACCAGGCCCACCGTGACCTTGTGTTCATGAGGAGAGGGGGACACCAGGCCCACATGACCCTGCGTCCATTAGGAGAGGGGGGACACTAGGCCCACGTGACCAGGTGATACAGGGGCAGGCCCTTGGGGAGGAAGGGACAAGCTCTTGGGACATCATCTCCCCAGGCCCACCTGCCTGCAGGCTGGTCGGGGGGAAGGAGTGTGTCATCTGTGGCTTTCCTGGGTGGTGGTGGCCTGGGCAGGGGCAGGTGGGGCCTGGCCCTGTGGCAGATCCCAGGGAAACTCTGGACTGCGCTCTGAGGCTGTCACCCCTGGCCCGGCCTGCTGTGTGAATTTGAATCAGCTGAAGTTAACTGTGGGCATAGACTCGGCTCCATCTCAAGGACTCAGGACCATCTCCCCAGACAGCACAGAGAGACAGTGTCCCCACCGCCACATGAAACTCGGGTGGTGCGTGGTCCATGTGGGGATGCTGGGGCTGGCCAGGGACCCTTTCTTCTGTGGTCAGGTGCTGGGACTCAGCTGGGACAGGCACCCCATGCTCAGAAGCCCACGTGGGCTCAGGGGGCCCATAGGCCCTGAGTGGCTTCTCCCATCTGTCCTGCAGCTGGTGAACCAACTGGGCTCGACTCGGGGTGGGGTGGACCTGTTCATGCCCAGCCCAGCACTGCGGGCCCAGGAGCAGCTTGCTGCTGTGGAAGGTAAGCACCAGCCTGGTCCGGACCCTCCACGTGCCTGGGTGGGCAGGGATTGGGTGAAACCATTGGCCCTTCTGACAGGCGTGCATCCTTTGGAGGGGCAGCAGTGTCTCCCAGCCCCTGTGCAGCATCACAGGGTGGGCCGGTAGAGGGAGGCTGGGCTGGAGGGGCGGCCTGGGGTCTGGGGCCCGAAGCCCTGCTCGCCGTCCTGGGGGCATTAATGAGCACATATAAAGGCCAGACCCAGCTTGGGCAGGCCTCCCAGCCATGGCCACTGCGGCCTGGTGAAAGGGGTGGCAGGAAGGAGAGGAGGGCTGGCACACAGAAGAGGGGCCTTGCCTTGCCTTGAGGCTAGCAGGGGAGGGAGCAGGTGTCAGGGGCTCCGTCCCTCAACACTGGGTGCAGCTGGCTGTGGAAAAGACAGGATGCCATGGCTCAGCCTCCCTGGACTATAGTGGGGCTGCTCCTGGGTCCTGGGAGGGGACCAGGCTGCAGGAAGAGGCTCCCTGGGGGAGATGTGCTCCTGGGAGGGAGGTGAAGGGTGGTGGGATGCCTCACACCTCTTGTCACACCTGGCTACAGGGTCCCAACTGGGCCTTGCCTGGGGATGGCCAGAATGTGGAGAGCAGGCCCTGTGCTGGGCTTGCTCAGTTGGAGAGAACAGCCTTATGGGACTTGTAAGGCAGGCTGCAGCCCCAGGGCAAGTGACGGACTGAGCTACCTTTACAGGAAGGGACTGCCTTGACAGGTAGTGAGCCTCCCATCCCTGGGAGCATGCAAGCAGAGGTTGAACCAACATGTGGGGGAGCTGCAGCTCTCACAGTAGGATGGGTTGGAATACGTGTTCTCCCAAGTCCTGAAAGTTGGCTTCTCTGATGCCCTGGGCCAGCAGATCGAGTCCTTCTCGGGGCCAGTGTCAGGGAGCTTGTCATGAAACAGGCTACCTGGTGGCCAGAACGTGGCCTTGGGCCTTTGACAGCCTGCATGGGCCTCATGGAGACCCCTCCCTCCGTTGTGAGCAGGGGGTTCTTGCTCCTTGTCCCCCAGCAGGCAGCTGGCACTGGTTGAGCCTGTTTCCTCTGGAAGCCCAGTGGCGCTCGCCGTCTCCTGTGCTCCCTGTGTGGTGTCTCCTGTTGGGAATGTGCTGAGCAGGGACCTCTGTGCCCTCTCAGCTGGTGACAAGCATGACCTAAAAAGGCATTCACTTCATTGTTGTGATGGGTTTCTTTTTGTCAACATTCAATGGCTTTGGGGTCTGGAGGCCCACCGGTGCCAGATACGGCGTTTTTCAGTAATTAAAAGGTGATTTAACTCAGGACATATTCAGCTTTTTAACTTAAAAACTAAATTTTTTATAATCTTCATGAAAAAGAATTAAAAAGAAGACCAAATGAAAAATTAACTTAAACCTTAAGTCTGATGCTACATTAAGCTGTGGAATGTCTAAAATAATGAACACTAATTGGGTGGAACTTGCAGTTTTTCAGGACATTTCAGTCCGATAGTTAGAAATTTTAAGAGCTGATTATAAATCAGTGGCTTTCAATTTTCTTTCTCTTTTATGCTAGTTGGAAATGGAGGATGAAGATACAATTGATGTGTTCCAGCAGCAGACAGGAGGTGTCTACTAAAAAGGGAACTTGCTACTTTACTCCAGAACTCTGTTCCAACAGACCAAGAAGACATTCGCAATTAGAAAACCACAATTTGGTTCCACCACATCCTGACTACTACAGTATAGTTTTCTCTATTCTTTCATTTTCCCCTTCCCCATTCCTTTATTGTACATAAAGTAACTGTGTATGTGCACAAGCATATTGCATTTTTTTTTTTAACTAAATGGCCAATATAGTATGTTTGATCGACATCAAATGGAGATGGGATGGGGAAAAATACTGGCTCTGTGAAAATACTCCCTTTCTCCATTAGCGGCATGCTCATTCAGCTCTTATCTTTATATTCCAGTNCACTCAACTTTTCTGAGCATCCCACTCAGTTTTGCCTGCAGGATGGCAAGAGTAGCTGTTGAGATGCAACTGCCTGCTTTCCAGCTGGGCAAAGCTGGGAGGGGGCATCTTGGTGCCTAGCCTGCCCTCTGCCCAGAAGCTTCAGAGGAAGAGGCCTTGAGATGGTTGGGAGTAGCTGTGCCTGGTCCTAGAGGAGTCCCATCCCATCTCCGGGATGTGGGCCTCCCACCTGCAAAAAGGCTCTATGCTGCTGGCTCCAGGGAAGTACAAAGCTGGAAAAATCCAGACAGTTGAGTTTGTGGAGTGCTCCTATGGGAAGACCTAGGTTTCCTTAGTCACTAGGAGCCCAGGGGTTGCCCCCAGTGGGACTTCCACAGTCTCATGTCACAGAGCTGCTCTGGGCCACTTCTAGGACTCTGGAGTCCTCTCCTCTGGAGAGAGCTTCTGGCCTTCAGCACTTTTGTTTCTGTAAAACAGGCACCAGCCATCCCAGTCGCAGTTGGCTGATGGCTCACCGTGCAGCCACAGGCCATTCCTTCCCCACTCCCTAGGCCTCAGTTGCTGTGTCTGAGAAGTGGGACCTTAGGCCTGACAAATTTACAGGAGTCCCTGGCACATGGGTTAAAGGAGGCACTGGGGTCTCATGAGGGCAGCCTCTTGCTGCAGTTCCTGTCACACCTTCATTCCCTCTTTGGGACACATGGTTGTCACAGCTCCTCATCGCCCAGCCACTGGAGTCAGGCACTGTCACCTCCTCCTCAAACGTGAGGGAACCAGGGGTCCAAGCTGAGCCAGTCTGCCTGGGGGCATACAGTCGGGCAGGGTTTGGAAGCAGTGCTCGAAGCAGAGCAGGTTATCACGTCCATGCCACTCAGATAGCTGAGCCCTGAGCGCTGGCCCATCTGTACGTAACCCTTGCTATTCCGACTGTTTTCTTTGTAGTCACTGAGCAGGAGACTAAAGTCCCCAAGAAAACCGTCATCATGTAAGTGCAGGCGTGTTCCTAACCTTTCCTCTGACTGCAGTGCCTCCTGCATGCCCACTAACCCACTCGGATGGTGCCTGTGTGGCCTAGCCACCTGCGTGCCTGACTGCCCGCCCTCATGGCCTTTGCTCACCAAGCACATCACAGCACCTTGTAGATACTCTCAGAGGACCCACCTGCCCCTGGGATCCTGGCCACCTTCACACTTCACAGCCCCCTCTTCCAGGGCCTCAGTACTTCCCTTTGGCCTCATTGCCTCGGCCGGGTAGACCCCATCTGTGTACTTCCCAGTAGCTTACCCAGGGCTTGCATTCAGAATCACCCCCGTCAGGGTGGTGTTGGGACTGAGAGCTGCTTCCTCCAGTGGGCTAGAGGCTGAATTCTACCTTTTAATACCTTTGGATCTAGGGCACTTTTGTTCAGTAGAACTTCACTTGGTGCTTTCTCTGGGTTCCCTCAGCTTAGACCTTTTGTGTTATTGGATTTATCAATGACAGGTGCGGCTCGTCCCCAGCCTTGAAGGCATGGAAGGAAGAAGAAAGGGACAGTGGGTGTGGCACTGGGGAAATGGACAAAGCCGGACCTAGCTGTATTTACACTGCCCATTACCGTAGCCCCTAACCACAAGTGGCTATTGAACACTTAAAATGTGTTTAGTGGGACTGAAGAACTAAATTAGAAATTCTACTTTCACTTGAGCTTAATTCAAATAGCCTAACCCTAGTGGACAGTGAAACCATAGGGCCCTCAGAGGTCCCCAACCCCAACTCTAACGTTTGGAACATGGGGAATCAGGTTCAGAGAAGTGAGGAGGCTTTCTCAGGGTGGCTCATGATTGAAAGCCAGCTGAGAACCCATTTTCTGGAAGAGCCACATGTGTTGTTGAGAACTAAAGAACACAGGAGGTCCAGAGCTGAGTGAACCCACAGAGGCCAGGATTGGTTTTGACCTGGATGATCTGGGAGGACTTCCAGTAGGAGGTGTGTGCAGGTGGAGATTTTGGAAAAGCCAGGAGGCAAGACTATGATTTCTTAAGGCCAGATGACTGGGAACTTCCAGGATGGAGCACCTCTTCCTTCCCAGTGGGCCTGTCCACGTTATGGAGAACATAATTGTCACACATTTGATGAGATCCTGGGCTAACTCTCCTTGACTTCCTCCCTCCTGCCCCAAGGCAAGTCGTAGTCCCACAATATGGGGTTGCCTGGGGCAGAAGAAAGACAGTACCTCATCTCCAGAGGTATGCAACTGTAGACTAGAGCTTTATCCATTTCATGCATGAGGGAGACATTGTTACTGACATTCCAAAGATGACCAAACAGTAGAGATGGGGCCAGGTAGCCCCATCAGTGAGCCTTCAGGGATGACTCCTACCCAGAGCCGGCTGGACCAGGGGACTCAAAACATCTTCAAGTCATCTATTCCAGGCTTAGGGAGGTAGGAACCCTCACCCCCTCAGCTTGAGGAATGGAGAGAGGCAACTGCTTAGCCCAACATTCCCCCCCGGCAAAGGACACACACACTGCACAGGGGCACTGGGGAGCCAGGTGGGGACCAGAAGCAAATAGGACTTGGAGAGAGAACCCTGCCACATACTGTGCCAGAGGCCTCAGAGCAAGTGCCTGGATGCCCTCATGGGGGCAGCAGTGAGCCCAGAGGGGGAGGCACTGAGGAGGTGTGATCCAGCTGCCCACTTTTGAGGCCTTGGTGAATTGAACGGCATGAGGCCAGCAATGGGGCCTAGTCCAGGTTCCCCTGACATTCAGGCAAGCTCTGACCCAGAGACAAGCCTAGTACCCCTAAGCCTGTTATCAGGAAGGCAGGTGGGCCATGTCTGCCTCAGTTTCCCCACCAAGTAAGTGGGGTATAGCATTTCCTCCTTACTGGCCAGAGGAGGCAAGACTTGTAATGGCTGTGTACCCCAAGGGGTGCTACACATCTCTGAGCCTGTGCCTGAGGGTAACTGCTTCTGGGTGGAGGCCTGAGTTAGACAAAAACAAAGCTGAATGAGACAGACAGACAATGCCTTAGTCATAGGCAGCTGGTGACAGCACCGAGTCATCACCTCACCTGCTAGGTCCCTCTGCCTGAGCCCAAAAGAAACACAGCCTCCAGGGACCAGGAGGGCCATCTGTTGCTCAGGGGCTGTGTTACTCAGTGCATTCCCACTCCCTGCCTGTTACTCATTTCTCCCCCAGCTCCTGGCAAGATCAGAGGCACTGGGGGGGGGGGGTGGCGGGAGACCTGGGCTGACCGGCAGGCTTTGACTCTTAGCCATGGGCAAGTTTTGAGCCTTTTCCAGTCTTGTCCATGCCTGTGAAAGGGGCTGGACCCTTCCTCCAGGCCTCTTGCCCCGCTCTCCTCTTTCCTCTCCCCTCCCATTTTGGGTACAGAGCCCAAGAAGAGGAAGGGATTATCTGTTGTCACACAGCCTGTGAGGGCTGAGCTATACCCAGAGCCAGTGTCCTTAGCAGGCCTCACACCCCCATGCCATGGGGCCAGGAGCACAGGCTACCAGCTGGGGCTCGACACCCCTCCGGGACCTGCCCCTGAGTGTGTGTGGGGGCCAGACAGGGAAGGCCACATGGCTATGTCCTTGCATCCTTCTGAGAGAAGCACTGGAATCTCCTGAATGAGATGGCCCTAAACAGGTAGGGGAGATGGAACATTGCAAACCAGGTTTGCTCTGGGCCTCCCCTGATGCGTCAGCTCTGGTTCTGAGGTCTGTACACTAGTGCCTCATCTTGGCCAAATGAGGCCTTGTGCTTTGTGGGGGGTTTTTTGGTTCTTTGGCTGAGGTTTCCAGAGGTGGGGCTTAAGCGCATGCATAGGAGTTTGTTTTTTACCATTTCAACACTTACCTGCTGCTGCACTAACCTGACCTCACACGCTGGCCTCTGCATGTGCTGGTAGTGAGGGTGCCAGGTGAGGCTGTGGGTCTCTGTGCCCACCTCCTCTTGGCCCTTCCCATGCAGAGAAGAGACCATCACTACAGTGGTGAAGAGCCCCCGCAGTCGACACCGGTCCCCCAACAAGTCACCCTCCCGCTCACCTTCCCACCGCTCCGCCAGTCCTCCCAGGCCAGGCCTGCAGGTCCCTGAGCTTCTGTACTCACCAGGGGTCACCCAGCCTCGCAGGTCCACACTGGAGCCAGGCCGGAGGCCCACTGTGCCTGCACTGTATGTAACGGAAGCTGAGGCCCACACACCGGCCCTGCCTGCAGGCTCCAGGCTCCAGCCCAAGTGGGTGGAGGTCGAGGAGACCATTGAAGTCCGGGTGCAGAAGACAGGCCCACGGAGTGTGTCTCCTGCCAGAGAGGTGCCCTGTGGGACCCCTGGTGTGGACCCCAATACAAACAACTCCAACAACAAGCTGCTCGCCCAGGAGCCCATGGCCTGGGATGAACCCATCTTCAGTATCCATGAGCCCCTCGTCTTCTGTGTGGATGCCAGGCCAGAGGAGACCCCTAAGCCATTCCCTTGCCCAGCTGCTGAAGAGGAGGAGCCCCTGGAGGAGGTGGAGGGGGGTGCTGGCCTGATGGAGGGGCCCCTGGGCACTGATGGCCTTTGGGGCCATGACCCCAAGATCCTCACGCACAATGGCCGTGCGCTGACGCTGGCTGACCTGGAGGACTATGTGCCCCAGGAAGGGGAGACCTTTGGCTGTGGCAACCCCTTGCCTAGCCCCTCTGCTGACCCACCCTGCGAAGTTGCAGTACTGCAGAGAGAGATCAGTGAGCCCACTGTGGGGCAGCCTGTTCTGCTTGCTGTGGGACACCCGCCAGGCCCCCGAGGCCCACCCAGGCCCTCCAGTTGCTGGGAGGCATCTCCGGTGGGGGCCCAGGTCCTCGGTCCCTCTGGTGTCTCCTTCAGCGTGCGGGAGGACTGGGCCGGGGGCACCACGTCCTGGAAGCCATCCTTCTGCACCCACGTCCAGCGATCTGTGAACAGTGGCCAGAGCAGCTTCAAAACAGAGGTTTCCACCCAGACAGTCAGCTTTGGGACAGTGGGTGAGACAGTCACCCTGCACATCCGCCGGGACGAGGATGAGGCCCCTGGCCCCTCCCAGGGATGAGGTTGCTCCCCTCAGGGGCTGGGCAGCAGGGGCAGAAACCAGCAGAGACCCTCGAGGCCAGACTGATAGTGAGCCCTTGACGCGGCTGCTGCCATTGTCCAGAAGAAGCCAGTGCCCCTCAGAAACGTGTGCCCTGAGCTCCCCTTGCTCTCCACCAACTTGCAGCTGGAGCCCCTCTTGCCCCAGAGACTTCCTACCTCACAGGGTTCTGTCCACCTGAGGATACCACACATGCATGTGTAATCTTGGGAAGTACCAAGCGTTCCAAGTCTCACAGACCACATGCTGTTCTGGGCACCGGGTATCTGCCTGGCTCTGTTCAGGAGATGGCAGCTGCCACATGGCCCTGTCTGCCCCAGGCTGGGGTCCTGGACTTCCTCTCAGTGGGGAGCTTCCCCAGGCCCCATCTTACCCATAAACGCTCTTCTTGGCCTCCAGGAGGCCTGCGTGGACGCCAGCTGTGCAGACCCTCCCTGGCCTTCTCTGTAGGGTGGACCTGGGTCTGTGCGTGAAGTGGCCTCCATCAGCTGCCCACAACAGTGATAATAAACTGGTTTGCCACACTGCCTTCGCTCTGTTCTTTCTCATTTCTCTGCCCCATGGCTCCGGCGACTCGGGTGGAAGGGCCTTCCAGGCCTCGCCCTGGGGACCAACCAGTGGGCAGCCCAGGCCCTGCATCTGCCCATGGGTCCAGACCCATCCTGGGAGCCCAGGTGGAGGCAGGACAGCTTGCTGTCCCTCAGAGATGCGGCTGAGCACAGTGCACACCACACAGTGTGGAATGGAGAGCCCACAGTGGTTGCTCCCAGCCTGCCCGGAGTGAAGCAGACCTTCCCCCACCACCCCGCCGCCATGCAATCAGGGCCATGGTCAGGACAGATGTGTGATGTGTTGGGAGGCCCTGCTGACATCCTTGGAGTGGGGAAGGACCGGATGGTGCCTTAATGCCATAGGAGACAGAAAGGGCAGCCCACTGGTCACATCTCCAGCCTGGGGGGCACAGAGCAGTAGAAGAGAGGGTCTGAAGCAGGATGTCCTGCTTTTGGGCAGCCCTGGGCACAGGTGTGAGGCCACAGCAAGGCCTCATGGGAGCTGACAGCCAGGTGGAGGGGCTGCACTGGAAGGGTCTGAAGGCTCCCCTGAGGGCTGTGTGGGAGGGGAGTGGGGGCCAGATGAGAGTGAGGTGGCCTGCGTCAGGCCAAATTACAGGGGAGGTTGAGGGTGGATAGGGCCTCAGGTGCAGGGACAGAGCTTCTGGGAGGGTAGGAAGGGGGCTCACCACCCTAGGAGACTGTGGCCCTTGTTTGGCATTGAGCCATCCCCAGGCTTCCTTGGATCATGTGGCCAGGGGCCTGAGCAGCCCTGCACCCTGGGGTCCAGTAAGGGATAAAAGGGTTGGATGAGGTCAAACAAGGGGCGGGGGTAGCTGTGCAGGCTCAGCTGCCCCTGAGAGTGCTGACACCTACTAGAGGCATCTGGGCACCAGCGGGGCTTGGCGGGTCCCTGAGCTTGCTGCCCTGTGGGCTGTACGGCCTGGCATCTCTTCTCTCAGGGGCCTGCTCCTTCTGGCATCCACTGGGCCGAGTGCTTAGGTGGGACAGGCTGGTGGGAAGGGCACCCAGGCTTACCTGGGAAGTCTCTGAGGACTTGGATAGGGCTCCGGGAGCTCCCTCCCAAGGCCAAGGCCGTCCCTCATGCCGCACACTGACCAAACTCTCCCACAGATGCCACCATCCCACCCCCAGCTGCCCCGAAGCAAGCAGACCAAGAGATCACATCTGTCCTGAGGACACTGGTGTGCTCAGAGGCTCCAAGACCCTCCACAGTGGGCCATGCCAGCCCAGGTCCTGGCCCTGAGGGGCCACCCGAACTCCGGGAGGCTGGCCCCCAGCTCCCAGGCATGGAAGTCTCAGGTGCATCTGGTGAGGCCCTGTGACAAGCTGACCACAAAGTGCCGCCACCTGCCACAGACCCCTGCCCTGTGTTGACCCCAACCTTGGTCACCCAAGGGTCCGTTCCATGGGTGACCAGACAGATAGCCCCCAGGGCTGCTGCTGCAGGGCTCCGCTGTGAAAAGGCTTCTGCACCCTCTTATCCGGGTGGCCAGGGGCTTTCGTCCAGGCTGGGCAGGGGGAGCCTTAGGGTTGGTGGGGGAGGGGTGCAGATGCTAGGACAGGAAGTGCCCTGGTGTCTGGGCTCTGTAGGGAGGCCTATGGGGCTGAAAAGTGTGTGTATGGCTGGAGCTCTGGGTTTGGGGGTGCAGAGCCACTGCTCTGCCTGGCATCCCACCCTCTGGGCCCTAGAAGGCAAGGCAGGGGCACATTGTGGGGGTAGCCCCCAGCCTAGTCCCAGGCTCCTGCTCACATAGCCCCTTGCCTCCCACCAGCAGAGCCCCAGAAGTTGCCTCTCCCCAGTGAGGGCCAGGAGCAGGACTCAGCCCCAGCACGCGTAGTGCCCATCCGGTAACCTCCCCAACACGTTGGGCAGGGGCAGGCTGCAGAGGGCATACTGGGGACAGGACAGGGTCCACCGGCTCTGCCTGCAAAGACAGGAGTAAGGGGTGGGCTCACAATACCAAGGACACTGCTTGTCAGTCCCGCTCGGAGGCTAAGGGCAGGTAAGAGAGGTTGCCCTTAGGGTGTGGGGCATGGGGGAAGCCCCCTCCTCACACAGGGCTGGGGCCCCTGCCTCTATATCCCCTCCCACGTGGTGCTGAAGACCCCTGGGTGGAAGCAGGACCCCTTATCATGACGCTGAGCTGGTCACGCCCCGGAGGTAGAGGGCTAGGCCGGGCACTCACACAGCTCCTTGATCCCAGGATGGAGGGTGCAACCCGGCCAGGGTCAGGAGCAGCGGAGGTCTGGGACATCCACAGCCATGTTATCACGGAGACCACGCACAGGACATATGTGTACCAGCCCAGTGCCACAGGTGCCACAGGTAGGTGGGGCCCAGTGGGTTTTGGAGTGCCTGCCATGCCTGTGGCTGGGGCCTGCAAGGTCACCTAATGTGTCCCAGCCTTGCTGTGGTGGGGGACCCCTCAGAGGAGCATCACCGGGAGGGGCTGGAACCCTCTCTGTGGAGAGCTGGGCCACCAGGATTTGGATGTGGGGGCCTAGTGAGCCCTGACCTTGGACAGCTGAGGTCAAAGCCGGAGAGCCAGTGGCTACAGGGAAGGACTCCCTGACTGTCAAAGGCCTGGGCAAAGCCAGGAGGGGGTCCCCTCACTTGGGAGTCAGTGGGCTCTGTCACTCTGGGGTGGACACCAGGACACACCCAGCGTCACCATCAGCTCTCCTGGGCAGCTCAGTGACCACAAGCCCCAGCCACAGATGCAATGCAGGGCAGGCTGTAATCAGCTGGCCGCAGGCCTATGGGCTCCCTCTCCCACCCCAGAGCCCCCATCCATGCAGGTCACCATCGAGGACGTGCAGGCACAGAGGGGCAGCACTGCGAAATTCCAGGCAGTCATCGAGGGCAGCCCAGAGCCCACAGTGGCCTGGTACCGGGTAGGGACATGCGTGGGGTGGGAGGCGGGCACGTATGGCATCCCCACCAGACAGCAGGGCACTTATTGAAGGCCAAGTGGAAATGGGGTCCCATGATGCCCGGGTCCCCAGGGCAGGCTGATGTGGCTGCCTTGCTGGCCTGTGCCCACAGGACAGCATCGAGCTGGTGGACAGTGCCCGGCTCAGCCAGCTGCAGGAAGGGACCACCTACTCCCTGGTGCTAAGGAACGTGGCCCAGCACGATGCAGGTGTCTACACCTGCCTGGCGCGCAATGCTGGTGGCCAGGTGCTGTGCAAGGCAGAGCTACTAGTGCACGGGGGTGAGTCGGGCCCCTCCCAGGCTCCGCTTCTGGCTCCACGCAGACTTCCATGGGCTAGGGCACAGGACACTATGCAGCTGGGACAAGGGCCTGGGGTGGTCTTTGTCCATACCGACGGCTCCCGCTCCCTGACCAGGGGATAGCAAACTGGACGTAGACAAGCAAAGCTACCGGAGGAAACTGCACTCCTTCTACGAGGTCAAGGAGGAGATTGGAAGGTATTGCCCTTCAACCCAGCCCTGGAGCCCCTCAACCCACTCTTGCCTACCACCAAGTTCTGATTGGAGCCCCGCCCCTCTGAGCCCCCTTCCCCAGGAGACTCCTTCCCCAGGGAGCCCCCCTTCCCATGGGAGCTGCCTGTTACCCCACATCCTGGAGCCCTGACGCACGCACCCAGCATGGCCTGCTCCCCCCAGGGGTGTGTTCGGCTTCGTGAAGAGGGTGCAGCACAAGGGGAACCAGATGTCCTGTGCCGCCAAGTTCATCCCCCTACGGAGCAGGACACGTGCCCAGGCCCACAGCGAGCGGGATACCCTGGCCATGCTGAGCCACCCCCTGGTCACTGGGCTACTGGACCAGTTTGAGACCCGGAAGACCCTCATCCTCATCTTGGAGCTGTATCCCACCTCGCCCCAGGGACGCAAGGGCTGTGGGGGCACTTGCGGTTCTGGTGTCCCCAGGCCTGGCCTTGGAGGCTGTCAGCCCAGCTCCCATGTTCCCTCTGTGATGCTGGTGACAAAGCACCCCGGGCACAGCTTCTCCTGTAGCTCGCGGTCCTGTGGGTCAGGACCAGGCAGGGCTGTGAATAGGATCCAGGATGTGCCTGGGCCGGCCCCTCCTGTACTTCACGTGGCCTCTCCAGTAGGGAGGTCCACCCAGACTCCTGGGGAGGGCACACTCATCACCCTGTCCCCTTTGGGTCACAGTCCAGTTGAGGGTCTTTGGGTGTCATCTGTGCTCACCACAGCCCCATCTCCTCAGTCAGGATCCCCTGCCCCAAGAGAGGGTGTGGGGGAGGTGAGGGTGCCTCAGTCCCACTCTGCTGCTGCCCACTGGCCGCAGGCCCTCTGCTGGGGAATCCCTGCCCCTCCCACTCTCCTGAAGCCAGAGCACCAGCCTTCCCAGGGTTCCCCACCCCAAACCCCAGATAAGACTTCCCACTTTTGTGGGTTCGGTGGGTTCCAGACCACAAAGCTTTCCTTGACCTGAGGCTCAGGTGCTCCTCTGAGGAGCTGCTGGACCGCCTGTTCAAGAAGAGCGTGGTGACGGAGGCCGAGGTTCGAGCTGAAGGGCCGTGTGCACACCCAACAACCCCCCCCATCCCCACTCTGCCCTTCCTGCTTTGGTCAGTCTGTTCCGCACATCCAACCCTCCTCATTTTGGGTGCAAGGAGTCCCCTGGCCATGGGGCACATGGGCTTGGGAGGCTTTGCGCATAATCTGCCAGGTTACCTGCCCCGTGGGATGATACCAGGCTCTGCTCTAGAGGGAAGTCTAGCCGGTTATCTCACCTGCATGCTGCCCTTTACTGTAGGTCAAGGTCTATATCCAGCAGCTGGTGGAGGGGCTGCACTACCTGCACAGCCAGGGCATCCTCCACCTGGACATAAAGGTACTTGGGCCCCAGCACCCCAGAGCCTGGGGAGGGGCAGGTGAGAGCCTGGGGTCTGCAGGCTGGGAGGGTGTGGGCCCACCACCTCTAGCATCCCTGTTAGGATTCGATTACCTCTGGCGGCAGAGAGCTCACTACCTTACTGGCAGCCCTTTTTAAATGGGTACAACTCTGATGGAGCAGAGGGCATCCCCAAATGGCACTGAAACCTACCCCTAAGGGCTCACTGGCCCATGCTGGCTGCACTGCTGCCATGGGGCAGCCCCTCAGACCCTGGAGTGTCCCTCCTCCAAACCCAGCAGCCCCAGAAGTCACCCCCTTAAGAGAGATGGCCTCCCCAGTCCTCAACTCCTCCCAACAGCCCCCCAACATCCTGATGGTGCATCCTGCTCGAGAAGATATTAAAATCTGCGACTTTGGCTTTGCCCAAAAAATCACCCCGACAGAGCCACAGTACAGCAAGTATGGCTCCCCGGAATTTGTGTCCCCAGAGATCATAGAGCAGACCCCTGCAAGCGAGGCCTCTGACATCTGGTAAGTGGGTGGGCCCCCTGGGACACCAGCTCCCACCCCCACCCACCCATCTGCTCTCTGTCTCCTCTCCCACCCCCATCCCTGCACCTACCCCTCTCCTGTGGTCCGGGCCTGGGGTGACTCATGGCTGTGGTTTTGTTCCAACAGGGCCATGGGAGTCATCTCCTACCTCAGGTGAGCAGACCCCTACCTCTGTCAGCAGCCTCCTCCGCAGCCAACCCCAGCCACCTCCCCATCAGGCCCACGGGAAGCCACGGGCACCGTTGGCCACTCCCCAGATCAGAGACCCAAGACCCAAAGGGCAGCTATTTGGGGAACAGGCAGTCAGCCAACTCCGATAACAGGTTTCTGTCCACACAACACCCTGTCCTGCAGTAGTGCTGCTGGGTCATGTGGCAAAGTGTGGAGCTGTCTCCCTAAAGGGTCTGGGTGGTTTATGCAGGGGCCCCTCACAATTATGAGGACCCTGCTAGAATAAACATCCTGGATCCCAGCTCTAAGCCAAGTAGGTCTCTGGGCAAATCTGAGACCCTTGCTGGGCTTCTCAGGGCTGGGCTGCAGGGGTCCTAAGAGGCCATCACAGGAAGCCTCCACATTCCCCTTGAGATCTACCACTCCCTGTCCTGGGGACAACCCCCCACCCCCGGCCCTGTCCCAGGGACCCAGAAATCCAGGTTACATCTCTGCCTTCAGCCTGACCTGCTCCTCCCCGTTCGCTGGGGAGAGTGACAGAGCGACCCTCCTCAATGTGCTCGAGGGGCGGGTGTCCTGGAGCAGCCCCGCAGCAGCCCACCTCAGTGAGGATGCCCAGGACTTTATCAAGGCCGCCCTGCAGAGGGCCCCAGAGTGAGTACACATGCCCACATAACCAACCTGAGGTCCTCTTTGGGCCTGCCCCGGGGAATCAGCTAAGGCCTGGCTCGAACCCCGCCTCCCAACCCCCGCAGGGCGCGGCCCAGCGCTGCCACGTGCCTCATCCACCCCTGGTTTCTGGTGAGTAGGCTGAGCCTGAGAAGGCCTGGCGCACAGGGAGGGTAACTGAGGTCAAGAGGGGCAAGGGCCTGGTGGGGGCCACGGGGAGCCCCAGAATCTCCCCCGACGTGGCTGTCTCACCCGGGTCCCCCAGAAGTCTGTGCCCGCCGAGGAGGCCCACTTCATCAGCACCAAGCAGCTCAAGTTCCTGCTGGCCCGAAGCCGCTGGCAGGTGAGCCATGCGGCACAGAGGGGTTTGGCGGCGCGAGGTCGGGGGTGATGCCGAGGCGGCTGCAAACTGGGACAGGAAGGGAGGCGTGGAGCAGGGGCGGGGTTGGGGGGACAGGAGGGGACGGGAGACCGGAGCGGGAGGGGTTTGCGGTGGGGGGCGGGGGCACGGAGGGCACTGGAAACACCGAGAGGAAGGGAGGCGTGGAGGGGACAAGAAGCGTGGAGCAAGCTGGCGGCGCGGAGACGAGCGGGAGGCCGGAGGGAAACGCTGCCCCGAGGGCTGGCAGTGCGCCCCCGCCAGGCCTGGGAGAGCAGGGGAGCCGGGCTGGGTCCTTCTTTCTGGGTCTGCGCTCGCTGAACCTCCAAGACGATTCAGGGATGGGGCGCATGGAACATGCAATATTCCAGCCAGGGCGGAGACGGAATGACAGATCCCTGGCGTGCAGAGGGTGAGGGCGGGGCCTTTACCGCCCCTGTCTCCTGGGTCCCAGCTCTGGGCCCACCGGGAGCCGGGAAGGCGGTGAGCACCCGGCTGACCCATCCTTGCGCCCCGCAGCGCTCCCTGATGAGCTACAAGTCCATCCTGGTGATGCGGTCCATCCCCGAGCTGCTCCATGGCCCGCCCGACAGTCCGTCCCTCGGGGTGGCCAGACATCTGCGCGGCGACGCCAGCACCTCCTCCAGCAGCTCTTCTTCCTCCTCCGACAGCGAGCTGGCGCCCTTTGCCCGGGCCAGGTCGCTGCCGCCTTCTCCGGTGACCCACTCCCCACTGCTGCACCCCCGGGGTTTCCTGAGGCCCTCGGCCAGCCTTCCCGAGGAGACCGAGGCTTGCGCACCCGCCACGGCCACGCCTCCGCTTGAGGCGTCCCAGGGCGCAGAGCCGCCGGGTGTCCCAGGCTGCGTGCCCCGGCAGAGCGTCATCCACAGCCTGTTCTACCAGCAGGCGGGCGAGGGCCCCGAGCACGGGGTCCTGGCCGCGGGCGCCAGGCTGCACCCGGCTCCGCGCAGGCACCTGCTCAAGGGGGGCTACTTCGCTAGGGCCTTGCCTGGCCTGCGCGAACCGCTGCTGGAGCACCGCGCGCTGGAGGAGCAGGCCGCCAGGGAGGAGCAGGCCGCCCTGATGGCCAAAGCGCCCTCCTTCGAGACTGCCCTGCGGCTGCCAGGCGCCAGTGCCCGCGAGGTCCCTGGCCGCAGCCGCTCCCTGGACCTGAACCTGCCTCGCCCAGCCAGCCCCTCCACCGAGCCCTGCCAGGAGAGCCAGTGTGTGGCCCCAGGCCCCTCTGGCCTGCAGGGGTCCCCAGTGGAGAGCAGACCTGGAGATGTCTCACTTTTTAGTGGGATGGAGCGTCCAGAAGGGTCCTGCCAGGGGTCCAGTGGTGGCCACTGGGGTTCACAGCAAGAAGGGTCTTCCCAGGACAGCTGTGAGGGGCAGTCGGTCCCTTTCTTGGACCCCCAGTGTGGTCTGGCCCCCCAGGAGAGCTGCGGCCCCCCTTTGGCTGCTGCACCACAAACTCTTGGCTCTTCCCCTCCAGGGCCATGCGGGGAGGCTCTACTGCCACCCCTGAGCCCCTCCCTTGCTGGGGTGCCCCAGGCCCCCTTCTCCACTGTTCAAGTAAGTCTACAGCCAGACTCTAAGAGGGGGCTGGAGGCCACCCCTCTCTCTTGGAGGCCTGGCTCCCCTGGCTCCCCAGGACCAGCCTTCCCTGGGGGCATGGAACCCAGCCCTTCCCTGGACACTAAGGGCATGGAGGACCCACTGGAGTCTACACCCAGCCCACAGCAGCCTCAGGAGCAGGCAACCACGCGGAAGTTCTCTCTGGGGCACCGTGGGGGCTTCGCAGGAGTGGCGGGTTACGGCACCTTTGCCTTTGGTGGGGATGCAGGGGGCATGCTGGGGCAAGGTCCGCTGTGGGCCAGGATGGCCTGGGCCACCTCTCAGTCTTCAGAGGAGCAGGATGAGGCTAGAGCCCAGAGCCCATCCCCAAAGGCCAGCAGAGTGCCCCTACCTGAGGTCTGCAGGGTGCCTCCCAAGGCCTCCTCGGACCTGACCTCATGGGAGGACTTGGGCGGGGGCTCTCAGGTGTCACTGGTGCAGATACGGGACCTGTCTGGGGACTCGGAGGCAGCTGACACTGTGTCCCTGGACATCTCAGAGGTGGACCCTGCCTACCTCAACCTGTCCAACCTGTATGACATCAAGTACCTCCCGTTTGAGTTCATGATCTTCAGGAGAGTCCCCAAGCCCGCTAAGCCAGACCCACCATCCTGGCCTGATTCCGAGGCTGAGGAGGAGCTGGCTGAGCTCCCAGGGGCCCTGGAGCCCTGGCTGGGAGCACTGGGCCTGCCTGCAGGCCTGGAGATCACCAAGGAGCCGGAGGACTTGGAAGCCCTGCTAGGAGAGGCCACCGGCGGCAGAAAGCGCAAATGGTCACCTCCCTCCAGGGGCCTTTTCCACCTCCCTGGGAGGCGTGCACTGCTGGAGGAGCCTGTGGAGTTGGGCCTGCGCCGCAGGGTGAGGGCCTCTGTGGCCCACATTTCCCGCCTCCTGAAGGGCAGACCCGAAGGTGACTCCTCTGCTCCACGGGGGCTGAGCATGGCTGGGTGTGCCCCTCTGCACCTTGGGGCACCTTGTCCCCCATGCCAGGAAGGACAGCTAGGAGCCCACCAGGGTGATGCAGGCATCCACCACCTAGACCCCCTCCCTTACTCCAGGGCCACCCACACCTCCCAGCATATGGGCTTCTGCTTCTGAGGTCACCTTTGCTGCCTGGACCCCTCCCCGCCTGCATCTGAGGCCCATCTGTTACCTAACGACTGCTGATCTGACTGGTCCAGCCCTCCCTGACACCCCCTAGGGCCCTGGCCAGGTGTCCTTGGCACTGTGGCTGAGCTGCTAGCATGCCTGTCTCTGGTGCCCCTGCCAGGGCAGGCCTGTGCTTTCAGAGCTTGGGAGGATGTGGCCTCCAGAGCACATTTTACTTGTTTCTAACAGAACACCCAGGCTTTTCTGCCACATGGGAAATTGGCGTGAGTGGTGGGTGATCTGAGTTCCTTCTCCTATGGAGCCAGGCCTCTCAGGTGTGGCTCCTGTGGCCCCTTCCTCCTTTCAGGAATGGAGATGGAGGGCCCTGCCAGAAAGAAGGCAGGCCTACCTTCCTTTCGGCTGTCAGGCCAGAAAAGCAGGGACCAAGGTGGGTGGCTCCCATGGGCTGGGTGCACTGCAGCCCAGAGAATCTGACTGCAGGTGAAGGGAGCCCCCTCCATGGCAGTAGGCAAGCAGGGTGGGTGGGGCAAGCTCACACCCCTGGGGGCTTGGGCCTAAACTGGAGGGGAACCTCTGGTGCCCTGGTTGTGAGGCTGAGCAGTCCTGGAGGGCTTCCTGGAGGAGGTTACGGTGTTGAAGCTGAGCTGAGCAGAGGTGGGCTCCCCAGTACCCCCACTGTAGGGTCCAGGGCATGCTTTTGGGCCAGAGGTCACCTCTGAAGTCTCACCCTTCCTTCCTTCCCCTTCCCAGCACCATCACTCCTAAAGGAGCTCTCAGATGAAACCGTGGTCCTGGGACAGTCTGTGACACTCACTTGCCAGGTGTCAGCCCAGCCAGCCGCACAGGCCACCTGGAGCAAAGGTAAGGAGCTGTCCCAGGCTGAAGGCAGGAGTGTTCCTTGAGGACATTGCTCTCTCCCGGAAGAGGGAACTGATGTGCGCCGGGGTGGGGCATGAGGCAGGGCGTGTGTGGAGCTACATCCCAGGTCCACCCGGTCCTGTGCAGATGGGGCTATCCTGGAGAGCAGCAGCCGCCTCCTCATCTCCTCCACGCATAAGAACTTCCAGCTGCTGACCATCCTGTCAGTGACTGCTGAAGACCTGGGCGTGTACACGTGCAGCCTGCATAACATTCTGGGGGCAGTGGCCACCACAGCCGTGCTCCGGAAGGCAGGTCAGTGGGCCAGGCCAGGACCCTCGGGACAGGGAGAGGGTCACCCCACACCGTGGCCTCCTCCCAGAAGTTCCCACCAGGCCTATGGGGGTTGAGGCTGCCCCCAAGGGGGACTTCAAAGGTCCCTGGATACCACCTGAGATGCTGGCCTTATGCCAGCTTCTCCATCTGGGACTCACGAATGGTATGGTCATCACCCAGGCACCCACTCCCTGGGCACTGCCAGGGCCTGGAATGGGCTCTGCAGCCTGGGATCTCCAGGAGGGGAGGTCCTGCCCCCTCTCCTGGCTCCTTTGCAGGGGCTTCTCCTTGCATTTCCCACAGCACCTCCCTCCCGCCCCTAGCACATGCAGGAGCAGGCTGCTTCCCATTTTGTGTCCCTAAACCCAGTGCAGGGGTATGTTTCTTGGGGAGCCAAGACAGGGCAGGCCTAGCTCTCCAACCCCCAGCCTGATCCCCTGACCAGGCTGGCCTGCTGTTGGTTGACCCCATGTGTCCTGGACTGCTACAGGCAAAACTAAGCAGCCAGGACAGGACCCTCTGATGGGAACCTGGGGTGGACAGGGGGCTGTCAGTGAGGACCACCCATGGGGTTCCTGGGTTGGGTCAACACCCACAGGAGAGGCACTGGGCCTCTCCTACAATTTAGCATGTAAGTTGAACCAGAAAGAACAGGATGGCAGGGAGGATGGGCGCAGGGGCTTAGCCACAGGTGCAGGAGGGAAGGCAGGGCTGGAGGGGGGCTCAGAGCCACATCAGGCAGCCCCTGGAAGCCTGCCTCAGGTAGTGCCCATGGGCCCTGCAGAGCGCCCCCATTCCTCCCCACGCCCGGACATCGGAGAGGTGTATAATGATGGGGTGCTGCTGGTCTGGAAGCCCGTGGAGTCCTGTGGCCCTGTAACCTACACCGTTCAGTGCAGCCTGGAAGGTACCCCCTGTGCCCTCACTCCTGGGGGCTCCTGGGGTCAGTGTGGGGTGGCCTCAGGGAACACCCAGCTGCCCTGTACCCTAGGTGGCCTTTGGGGGGGGGGAATGCCCTGGGCTCTGGGTGACCTCCAATGGGGAGGGGTCTGTGCACCCTGACTCTGGAGTGGGAGCCCTCAAGCTGCCCCTCACCTGCTCCTGTGGGCCCAGGTGGCGGCTGGAGCACGCTGGCCTCGGACATCTTTGACTGCTGCTACTTCACCAGCAAGCTTTCCCGGGGCGGCGTGTACACCTTCCGCACGGCCTGTGTCAGCAAGGCAGGCATGGGTCCCTACAGCAGCCCATCAGAGCAGGTCCTCCTGGGAGGGCCCAGCCACCTGGGTGAGCGCTCTGCAGGGCCTGGGGGGCAGGGCGCTGGTGGTCCCTCTGGAATTCATCTTGCCCAAAATGGCTGGGGATTTGTTCTGCCTGCTAGCACCCTGGCCCCGAGAGGCTCAAGGAATGAGGTGGGGGTCTCACAGAGAGGCCCCCTGTCAGGATGCCTAGGAATGGGTGTGGAAGACAAGGTGGGCGGAATTGGGGCTGTGAGGGTGCCCCCCAGACATCCAAAGCTTGCCCTCCCACAGCCTCCGAGGAGGAGAGCAGCACCCCACGGCCAGCCCAGCCCCTCCCCAGCACACAGACTTTCGCCTTCCAGACACGGATTCAGAGGTGCCTGATCCCCACTGCATGCATCTGCATGTGCTCTCTCCAGCCTCCACCTCCCTCCCACCGCTGGCCCCCACCCACGTTCGGTTCAGAACACCTGCAGTCCCCCTCAGGCGGTTCCAGACACCTCTTTTCTGGGCTTGCTTCCCTGAGACTGAGGAGAAGGATGCTGGGGGCCTGAATGGGCAGCCAGACAAGAAGCGTCCTCAGGAGCCTAGCCTGTGCTCCCTCACCCAGGGGCCGCTTCAGCATGGTGCGGCAGTGCCGGGAGAAGGCCAGCGGGCGCGTGCTGGCTGCCAAGATTGTCCCCTACCGCCCCGAGAACCAGACGTCTGTGCTGCGTGAATACGAGGCACTCAAGGGCCTGCGCCACCCCCACCTGGCCCAACTGCAAGCTGCCTACCTCAGCCCCCGGCACCTGGTCCTCATCTTGGAACTGTGTTCCGGGCCAGAGCTGCTCCCCTGCCTGGCTGAAAGGTGAGAGGGGGTCCTGGACTGGATGCAGAGCCGGGGTGGGGCAAGGAGCCCCAGGCCCATCTCCCGCCCACCACCCGGCCCCGCCTCCACCGGGCGACCCACACGTGCTCCACAAACAGAGCCAAACCCCTTCTTGTGCACGCCCAGAGCTTCCTACTCCGAGTCAGAGGTGAAGGACTACCTGTGGCAGATGCTGAGTGCCATCCAGTACCTGCATGCCCAGCACATCCTGCACCTGGACTTAAGGTCGGAGAACATGATCATCACCGAATACAACCTGCTCAAGGTCATCGACTTGGGCAATGCCCAGAGCCTCGCCCAGGAGAGGGTCCTGCCCTCTGAGAAGTTCAAGGACTACATGGAAACCATGGGTGCGCAAGGAGCAGACATGGGCCCGGTCTGAGGGAGGGGTGGGCCACCACGCCCCAGTCTTGCCTCCAGCCTGCTCTGCACAAACACCCAGCCTCTCACTGCTCCCCTCCCCACCCCCCTGCCCCACCCTCAGCTCCGGAGCTCCTGGACGGCCAGGGTGCTGTCCAGCAGACTGACATCTGGGCCATAGGCGTGACAGCCTTCATCATGTGAGTCCACCACGTGCTCCTGGGGGGTGCTGAGGCAGACCCGGGATCCATCCAGGGGGACCCCAGGGCGCTCATGTCCTCCCATCCATTAAGGGTGGCTCCAGAACTCCTGTGTCCCCACATCAATCAGGGGTGATTCCATAGCTCCCGTGTCTCCCATCCACCCGAGGGTGACCTGAGTCCCCTGACCCCCACGTGCGCAGGCTGAGCGCCGAGTACCCTGTGAGCAGCGAGGGGATCCGTGACCTGCAGAAAAGCCTGCGCAAGGGGTTGATCCGTCTGAGTCGCTGCTACGCAGGGCTGTCAGGCGGCGCTGTGGCCTTCCTCCGTAGCACGCTGTGCGCGCACCCCTGGTAAGGTGGCCCCGCCCCTCCCAGCCCCCCCCCCGCCTTGCCCGCCAGGCCCCAGATCCTGGAGCGCAGCTGACACCATTCCGGCGCTCCAGGGGCCGGCCGTGCGCGTCCAGCTGCCTGCAGTGCCCGTGGCTGACCGAGGAGGTCCCGGCCTGCTCCCAGCCCACCGCGGTGACCTTCCCCACCGCGCGTCTGCGCGCCTTCGTGCGTGAGCGCGAGAAGAGGCGGGCGGTGCTGTACAAGAAGCACAACCTGGCCCAGGTGCGCTGAGCGCCTGGCCCTGCGGGGCGGGTGTGTGTGCGTTGGGTCGGGTTGCCCTCCTGGATGTCCTTTGCCTCTCCTCTGGGACTTGCTGCATAAGTACAGGCGTGCCAATAAAAAAGAAGAACCGGGTGAGGTGGCTTCTGTTTGATCGTTTTGTTTGGGGACTCGGGAGAGGGTCCTGCCACCTTCCTGGGGTTTGGGGGCCACCCAGGCAGCACTGCCTTCCTTGTGGACTAAGTGGATGTGAAGCATCCCGGCCGTGGACAGGCCTGGGAGGGCAGCCTCACCTGGGGTGACCAGCGTGTCCAGCTTACAGAAGGAAGCCCCTCAGTCCCGGGCAAATTGGGAACACCGGGTCCCTGCCCTCACCCCACCTGCCGGCCTCAGAAGCCCCTCTGCTGCGGCTCCTGGTACCAGCCCGGACCCTGTGATCACCTCCCGGCCTGGAGTGGCCTTCAGGACTGGCCATAGCGGCCCTTCCTTAGTCTGATGGTGAAGGAATCTGGTGAGTGACCGGCCAGGCCCCCCAGAGGGAGGCAGAGGTGGACTTCCTGCACCTTCCCGTTGCCCTGGCTACTCCCTTCAAACCCAGGTGAGCCCAGCTCTGGGCTTAGCCCTCGCAGGATAACCTGTGGCACCTGTGCTGGAGCCCACGGCTTCCTCTCATCATGCTCACCTGGTCCCAGCGGGCTACATATACACTAAGCCTGGCATGTGTGCTGGGACTCAGGTGAGACTTTTAGCTCCTTGTCCTTCGAGGCTGCATTTCTTTGGTAACCCCTCTGTGCCCTGGGATGACATGTCATTTTCCAAGCCCATTTACATCAAATTGTGCAAGATTGGCCCAGCGCTGACTCTGACATATTTAGAGACATTTGCTGGGGCTGCATAGAGGCAATGCCTCCTCCAGAGCCCTCCAGGAGCTCAGCTTTCCTGGGTCCCTTCTGGTGGCTGGCCGTGCTTGCATGCAAGCCCAGCTCTCCTTGTGAGTTCTGCCTATAACCCCGTGCAAGAGCTTCTTGTGGAGTGGCCAGTGCCTCCCCACAGCCCAGCTTGGACTTACTATCCTAATCTGTGGTCATTTTCCCAGACAGAATCCTGCGAGATGATCCCACTCAGCCCCAAAGTCCCTCCATTTATGTGCTATGAGTATTTTATTGATATGTTATTTCTAGAGATCAAATCAAATCTAATGTACTGCATTTTTAAAGACATTTACATCATATTATATGGTAACTTTTTCTATTAAACTGCTTATTGCGGTCATTGTTGATGCACATGCAGTTGAAAGAAATAATCCAGAGAAAGCCAGGTACCATTTACATAGTTTCCTCATGGTTATATCCCATAAAACTATGGTACAGTGACCACAGATACTGACACTGGTGTTAGCAAGCTGCAGAACATTTCTGTCACAACAATCCCTCATGTCATCCTATTTTACAACCATACCCACTTCTTTCCCACCCTTAACATTCCTTAACCCTGTCAACCAACAATGTTTCACATATATGTTCTTTTAGTCATTTAAAGGAAATTTTATAAATAGAATAATCATATATATAAACTTTTGAGACTTTTTTTTCACTCAGCATAATTCTCTGGCAATTCATGAATATACAGTTGTCCCTTAAAAATCACAGGTTTGAGCTGTGTGAGTCCACTGTTACATGGATTTTTTTCAGTACATATATTGGGAAATTTTTTGATATTTCTGACAATTTGAAAAAAACATTTTCTTTTCTCTAGCTTATTTTAGTGTTAGAATACAGTATATAATACATATGAAATACAAAATGTATTAATTGACTGTATTATTGGTGAAGCTTGGTCAACAATAGGCTATTAGTAGTTACATTTTTGGGGAGTCAAAAGTTATATGTACATTTTTGACTGTGAAGGGGGTCAGCACTCCTAACCCCTTGTGTTGTTCAAGGGTCTTCTGTAGTTGCATATGTCAACAGTTCATTCCATTTTATTGGTGAGTCTGAGTCTGTGGTATAGAGTCATAAGCATTTATTTGACCATTCACCCATTAAGGACATTCGGGTTGTTCCCAATTTTTCATATTCCAGAGAAAGCTACTGTAAACATTCATGTACAGATTTCTGTGTAATCATAAGTCTTCATCACTCTGGGATAAGTGTCAGGAGTACAATCTCTACAAAATGTAGTTTTTATTTCCATTTGTATATGCTCTTGGGTGAAATATCTGTATTTTTTGCCCATTTCTAATTGTATTGTTTGTTCAATCACTGTTGAGTTTAGAGTATTCTGGTTACTCTAAACTGGGTACTCGTCCTTTATCAGATAAGTGATTTACAAATATTTTCTCCCTCATTGTAGCTCATCTTTCCATCTTCTTAACAAGGTCTTTCAAAGATCTTGAAAGTTTTGATTTTAGTAATACAATACATATAACATAAAATTTACCATTTTAAGGGTACAGTTCAGCATTGTTAGTTATATGTACTTTATTGTGCAAACATCACCCTAACCATCTCCAGAATGTTTTCATCTTACAAAACTGGAGATCTGTATTTTATAAGCAACTCCCTATTTCCCCTGCTTACCAGCCTCTGGAACAACCATTCAACTTCCTTTTTCTATGAATTTGACTATTTAGTTACATTATATTAATGGAATCATACTGTACTGATTTTTTAAATACTGAATATTATATTAAAGCATTATTGTTAATACTTTAGTGTTTTTGGTGTATGGTTATATATATATTTTTCTCTTTTCTTAATTGAAGTATCATTGAGACATAATCTTATATTAGTTTCAAATGTGCATCACAGTGGTTCAACAGTTACCCGTATTATTAAATCCTCACCCCCTCTAGTGCAGTTACTATCTATTGATGTAGAAAGATGGTACAGAATCATTGACTATATTTTCCATGCTGTACCATCGTCCCTGTGACTAACTTATATTGTGATTATGAATTACTCTTTCCCTTTATCTTCCTCACACTCCCCTCACTGCAACCCCTCCCCCTTGGTAACCAATAGTCACTTCTCAGTGTCTAAGAGTCTACTGCTGTTTTGTTCATTCTGTTTTGCTTTGTTTTTATATTCCACAAATAAGTGAAATCATATGGTATTTGTCTTTCTCTGCTTGGCTTATTTCACTGAGCATAATACCCTCTAGATCCATTGTGTTGTTGCAAATGGGAGGATTTCTTTTCTTTTTATGGCTGAATAGTATTCCATTGTATATATGTACCACATCTTATCTATTAATGGACAATTAGGTTGATTCCATATCTTGGCTATTGCAAATAGTGTGACAGTAAACATAAGGATGCATATATCTTTTTCGAATCAGGGATTTTGTTTTCTTTGGGTAAATTCTTAGAAATGGAATTACTGGACCAAATGCCATTTCTATTTTTAGTGTTTTGAGGAACCTCCATACTGCTTTCCACAGCAGTTGCACCAGTTTGCATTCCCACCAACAGTGTAGGAAGGTTCCCATTTCTCTGGATCCTCACCAATATGTGTTATTTCTTGTCTTTTGGAGAGTGGCCATTCTAACTGGTGTGAGGTGATATCTCATTGTCGTTTTGATTTACATTCCCTGATGATGAGCAATGTGGAGCATCTTTTCATGTGCCTGTTGGCCATCTGTATTTCTTCTTTGGAGAACTGTCTGTTTAGGTCCTCCACCTGTTTTTTAATCAGGTTATTTGTTTTTTGGTTGTTTAGGTGTATGAGTTCTTTACATATTTTCTATGTTAGCCCCTTATCAGGTATGTCATTTACAAATATAGTCTCATATTCTATAGGTTGCCTTTTTGTTCTGCTGGTGGTGTCCTTTGCTGTACAGAAGTTTTTAGTTTGACATAATCCCACAGTTCATTTTTTATTTTGTTTCCCTTACCTGAGGAGATGTGTCCATGAAAAAAATTGCTTGTAGTTATGTTCAAGAAATTTTTGCGTATGTTTTCTTCTAAGAGTTTTATGGTTTCATGAGTTACTTTCAGGTCTCTGATACATTTCAAGTTTACTTTTGTGTGTGAAGTTAGACGATAATCCAGTTTCATTCTCTTACATGTAGCTGTCCAGTTTTGCCAACACCAGTTGTTGAAGAGTTGTCTTTGCCCTGTTGTGTATCCATGGGTCCTTTATCATATATTAATTGGCCATATGTGGATTTATATCATGATGGATGATCTTTTTGATGTATTCTTTAATTCAGTCTGCTAATATTTTGTTGAGGATTTTTGTATCTATGTTCATCAGGGATATTGATCTGTCATTTTCATTTTTTTGTGGTGTCTTTGTCTGGTTTTAGTATTTGAGTGATGCCAGTCTCATAGAATAAATTTGGAAGTATTCCCTCCTCTTCTACTTTTTGGAATACTTTCAGAAGGGTGGTTATTAATTCTTCTTTAAATGTTTGGTAGAATTCAGCTGTGAAGCCATCTGGACATGGATTTTTGTTTGTTGGGACTTTTTGATTACCAATTTCAATTTCATTGCTGGCAATTGGTCTGCTCAGATTTCCTGTTTCTTCCTGGATTAGCCTTGAAAGGTTGTATTTTTCTAGACAGTTGTCCATTTCTTCTAGGTTATCCAATTTGTTGGCATATAATTTTTCATAGAATTCTTTAATAATTCTTTGTATTTCTATGGTATCCACTGTGATTATTCCTTCTTTTCTGATTTTATTTATTTTTGTACTCTCTTTTTCTTGATAAGATTGGCTAGGGGTTTATATATTTTGTTTATTCTCAAAGAAACAGATCCTGATTTCATCGATTTTTTTTCTATTATTTTATTCTTCTCTATTTTATTTATTTCTGCTCTGATCTTTATTATGTCCCTCCTTCTACTAACTTTGGGCCCCATGTGTTCTCCTTTTTCTAGTTTCTTTAATTGTGAGTTTAGTCTGTTTATTTGGGATTGTTCTTGTTTCTTGAGGTAGGCCTATATTGCTATTTACTTCCCTCTTAGAACTGCTTTTGTGACATCCCATCTGTAGATGTCTGTTAGGTCCATCTGTTCTAATGTGTTGTTGAGTGCCTCTTTTCTTACTTATTTTCTGTCTGGGTGACCTGTCTCTTGATGTGAGTGGTGTGTTAAAGTCTCCTAAAATGACTGCATTGCATTCTATTTCCCCCTTTAATTTTGCTAGTATTTGTTTCA